ACGATGCTCAAGAGCGGGCCTAATAGCGAAGATATTTGGCGTAAAAGGAAGCCAGGAGAAGAGGTTAGAGGGGCATTCAGTAGGCCTGCTGATGTCTAGAGGCAATGATATGGGAATATGCTTGTGTACGATATACTGTAGGACTAGATGTTGATAGGCAGTGAGGTTGGTCCGTTCATTTACGATTAACATCCTTCCAAAAAAACTCACATGACACGTACAGTGAGTACAACACTTGGCCCCTCTCTCCTCCAAGATTACGAATGACTTCAAGACCTTCTTTATGTGTACCTTTTTGTTGTGTCATAAACTGTGTTCATCGAAAATTTTATGGACCTATTATGCGCGCTGATGGGGCGTTTTACCAATTGATTAATTGATGTGTTCAACGTCTATACATGAAAGCCTCCTATATGGCATATAGACGAGGCCTAGGGTTTAGAGGTGCCTAGAATGCCTAGTTAAGGTGAGATAACTCTAAGGTGAGGGCTATGTAGATACTCTCCTACTGGTTAAGAAGCCTTACTACCTTATCACGTACCTAAGTACGTACTGGTAAACAGGCGTAGATAGTATCGGGCTGTGAGTCTTACTATGGAGGATATGATTACGTTTGCCTTCGCATGTACTGCACTGTTAGTAGTTAGATGTGCGATGGTTTAGAGTAAAAGAGGGACACTATATAGGCTAAAACTTTTAATCAGATAATCTCTTTCTACTGTACAGGACGTCTTGCTCTTATACCTAAGTTTGGACAATAGTTCTGCTCAAGGTTTTTCGTAACCCTGTGCACCGACACACTAACCGTCTGTTACATTACCTTTTAGCATCGCATTTTCTATCTTGCTCTTATCCAAGTACCAGCTACACTATGCTTAAGGAATCTATGTCTAGTGTCATATGTAACAGCCACTTTACCAGGGAAATAGCTGTTACGGGATTGTGTGGCTTCAATACTCTACTGAAGATAGGCAAAATAATGTGGTCGAATTTGTGGGTGGATCTACAGCGTTGAACAGTTCTTTGCGGTCTTCGCGCCCGATTATTGCAGGCTAGTGGTGTTGTGCTGCCTAAGGTGAAGGATGATAGATCCCTACATGGTACTAATTCATGACAAAGTCCGTACTGAGGGAGTATAGTGATCAATTTTCCAAAGTTCTTATCCGACTATTGTCATTTGGAAGCCATAACAATTGAGAGGGCACATTTACTTGTTCTGTTCAAGATGGAAATCAGTTTACAATGTCTTCACAACTAGACTTTCTGAATACAGATTTTTGGCGATACTTATTCTGCCTCAACTTCTTCATCTCACAACGAGAACTCTTCTGGAAATCAATACCGAAAAAGGTTCCTTGATATTTTCTCCTAACGACTGCTGTTTATTCCGAGGCGATGACTTACATCTATCTACAGAACTTCAAGTACCTGGCAGAAACCACATACGAAGACCTTCCATAATAGTCTACTCGTGCTTGAATCATTGTAGCCACCTCCTGCATAGCCTATATCATCGGCAGATGACTATCTATATGCCCTTTGAATCGATCAATAATCACGTTTCAATCTTCACAAGCATTATGTAAAAAATTGTTTCCATGGAGCTAGTCGAGCCCATAGGTAAGCCAGCTTGTCCCCTTTACCCATTAGAAGTAGAAGTAGCTTGAGAATATACTATACTGTTAAGACAAGCAATAATACAGGCAAAAAATAAAAATGATCAAATGATGACCAAGGTACTCTGTACATATCCATTAGTCGAACAGTAGTGATGTATCTGATGCGCACGATCATCAGCAACAGTGTTTTGCAAGTAGGACTGGGGAGAAGTCGGCGATCGGCGTTCGACCGCTCAGACGCTAGACCCTGTTTGGAATGCTCCAAGTGATGCGATGCGAACGTTCGGTTCTCGAACTAATTCACTCTTGCAAACAACACTTTGGTGTCTGCTTACTACATGGCTCAAACCAGGTGATCATCATTCATTAGGAGACACGAATTACCTCTCTCCAAGGCTCGTATCCAACACAAATAGGCCCACACACCGCAGAGGACCTAAGCACCCTCAAAAGACTAGTAGCACCCTGCGACTACCCTGTCTCACACGATCAAGACGCAGCGCGACTCTCGGACTCCTTGAAAGCCTCAGGTATCGCCATGGTCCGAAATGGCAGCCCGTCGCCAGCGGACAATTTTCCGCTAGGCCATTCAGCGACATCCCCTCAACCGCAGCCCTCGAAGCGCGACAAGCGGCGCAACATGCTCGCTGAGAAGCTCGCGGAAATGATGGCCTCTTTCTCTGACAACAGAGATAGCCACTATCGCGCTCAGCTGGCTGCGCTTCAAGCTGACATCAACCTGATTATGAAGGCTGACCCTTATGCGAACCAACCACTCGAGGATAATGGAGAGGAGGCCTCGGAGCTCATCGCGCAGATTATGGGCAACAACGTGCCATCTGCACCCAGCGCTGGCACAGATTATATCGCGCAATGCGGAAAACACTACTCGCGCTTCGTTGACGCGGTCAATGATGCGATGGAGGAGCGGGACTACAATCTCACCATGCTCTGGGTGCGTGCCCCCCTGCATTCCAAGATCCTGACACGAGACGCTAATCGTAGGCTTCATACAGAACAAACACGAAAACACAAAGAACGAAATCGAAAATTCACATTACTACAAAGTCCAAATCGCCGAAGAGGAGCACAAGTTGCTTGCCGCCACCATTCGGGAGCGTCTCGTAGCCAGCATACAGCAACGAACTAACAGGCTGAAGCGAGAGAAGGAGCAGCTTGACTTGTCCGACAGCAATGCAATGCTCCTTCATCCTAATCAATTCAGCATCGGAAACCCTGCCAGTCCCGGCGGACCGCAAGCGCCTCGGAAAACAAGAAGGACGGGACACAAGTTCGGGGACGCTGAAGAGCTGGCTGCAGCCAATGAAACCAAGCGCAAGAGAAAGTTATTTGAGGATCAGGACAACGATTCCCCGAACGCCTCTGCCCGGGCTATCGAAATGGGCATTGGCTCTCCGTTCCGTGAAGCCAAAGCACGTACTGTCAATGCACAGTTCGAGTCATCTGCCTACTCTCTTGAACGCCTGTTCACCGAGAAGGAGCTTAACATGGCTATGAATCAGGCCACTACAGCCGCCTCTCACTTCTTTGCAAAGATGAAGAACACAGAAGCTGCGACGCAAGAGGCAACAACGAACGGTAACACAAATGGCACAAACGGAGAGCATGCTTCTGAAAACGGCGACCCTATGGATCAAGATCAGGACTCGGACGACATACCAGGCGCTTCTGACATGGTACGCCAGCACTCATCGAACCCTCATGCCACGCGCGGTGCTACCCGGTCTGCACTCAATCCCACGGCAGCCATAGTCAGCGGACAAATACCACCATTCATCTACAACCCGCCTTTTGTGTTGGATGCAAAGATATTTCAGAAGATCAACGCGTCGGCGCCACCACCGCCCTCGCTCTCGGCACATGATGTGGAGCAGGATCTGAAGCTGATGCTAAGGGAAGCACGGCCGGATGATGATCTGAACGAGAAGCTGTTGCAGGCTGCATGCAACCCGGTCAAAGCACGAGACTACCAGGTCCAGCCACCGAACTTCTCTGAGCCCGTCAATGAGATGACAAGCGCACTACGCAGCACAGCACCACATCTGGAAGTAGGAGCAGGGCTAGGAGGAGTGCCTATGAGCGCGCAGAGCAGTGCTGCAGGATGGTCCGAAGGGGGTGGGAATACGCCGATAGGACGGAACGGAGAGAGAGACTCACTCGCTGTTGGTGGTCATGGCGGCGGTGTTGCGATGAGTCGAACGGCCAGTGGAAGCGGAAGGGGACGCGGTCGAGGACGCGGAGGTGGTTAGGACGCGTCTCGGCGGTAGTCGGCTTCCTATTCTACTTGGACTTGAACGTCACGGTCTCGTATTATACCCATGTCTGGCGTTTGGGGACGCGATGCATGTGCGGCGTTGGGCTGGATGCTGGATACATACTACTGTACTCACATGTACCGAGGTTTTGCTTTGTAGTTTCTTTGTTATTGCAGTTGACTCAGGGACACAACGAGTCAGGAGTTCTGTCGCAGCCAGGCAGACGCGTCAGTTCCCCCGTTTGTACTTGTATTCCCATTTTGTCTTTGATTTTTTTCCTGTTACTTTGGCGTACCAGGCAGACACAGTGTCAATACAGAGGTTTACCAATCAATCAGATCATGTTTTCGTGTCTGTCCGCGTGTCAAGGCTAGCTGTGCATGACAACAGGCCATGTATGTATTCACGTAGTCAGTCGGCAAGACAGGCGATCGTTTGCAGGGTGTATTGCATAGGTGTTTCGTCAGTCTGCAATCAGCAGCAGCAGTAGCAGCAGGCCACATCATACGAGGGTGTTAACAGTCGATAGCATGGATGGCGGCGGTGGGGATAAAATTCGCGGCCTCGTCGAAGGTACGTGAAGGCGCTGGTTGCCATGGGCGGCCATGGCGGGGTTGCTCGCTAAAACAACTGGATTGAGGTCATGGTGGGGTGAGGGTGCCGTCATAGCAGCCTCCATGCGAGCCTCGCGCCCAGCGGCGAGACAAGCAGGCACGGCATCAACGGCAGGCGCGACACAGCAACCCGCTCAAGGCGGCAGGAGCACAGGGGGCGCCTTCCATGCATCGTATCTGGCAGGAAAAAAAAGGCGATTTCGCCCCAGAGAAGCCGTCAGACAGCTGTTTCTAGTGGGTCGCAGAGCTTGCGGGAAGATTCTGGTTGGAGGCTTGGCACGTCGAACCCGCTGGAATTCTGTAGAAACAAGACGTTCCAAAGCAATACAAAAACTGCTCCGCCGCCGCCTTGGGCTGTCTCTCCAATTCACTACTCAAATCACATTTGAATCTTTAAGCCTCACCCACACGAAGTCTCTGACTTGTGAGCACCTTTGCGAATTTTCCTTCTACTACTTTGATACCCCACTACACATTCGCCTACCTACACCATGGCACCCGCGATCGGAATCGATCTTGGAACCACATACTCATGTGTCGGCATCTTCCGAGATGACCGCATTGAGATCATCGCCAACGACCAGGGTAACCGCACAACACCCTCGTTCGTTGCCTTTACCGACACCGAGCGTCTCATTGGTGACTCGGCAAAGAACCAAGTCGCCATGAACCCTACCAACACCGTCTTCGATGCCAAGCGCCTCATTGGTCGCAAGTTCGCCGACGCTGAGGTCCAGGCCGACATGAAGCACTTCCCCTTCAAGGTCATTGACAAGGGTGGCAAGCCTGTCATCCAGGTCGAGTTCAAGGGCGAGGAGAAGACATTCACACCAGAGGAGATCTCATCTATGGTCCTGACCAAGATGAGGGAGACCGCAGAGTCCTACCTCGGTGGAACCGTCAACAACGCTGTCGTTACTGTCCCAGCCTACTTCAACGACTCACAACGTCAGGCCACCAAGGATGCTGGTCTCATCGCCGGTCTCAACGTCCTCCGTATCATCAACGAGCCTACTGCCGCTGCCATCGCCTACGGTCTTGACAAGAAGACCCAGGGTGAGCGCAACGTCCTCATCTTCGACTTGGGTGGTGGTACTTTCGATGTCTCTCTCTTGACCATTGAGGAGGGTATCTTCGAGGTCAAGTCCACTGCAGGTGACACTCACTTGGGTGGTGAAGACTTCGACAACCGTCTTGTCAACCACTTCACACAAGAATTCAAAAGAAAACACAAGAAAGGTTAGAGGATTTCCATTTTATTCCAGTTCTTCTTGATATTTTTTGGAATTTTTTTGCTAACATTGAAGACAGATCTCACCACCAACGCTCGTGCCCTTCGTCGTCTACGAACCGCTTGCGAACGTGCCAAGCGCACTCTTTCTTCTTCAGCTCAGACCTCCATCGAGATTGAGTAAGTTTTACCCTCTAGTAACGAATTGTCTTGACTCTCTTACTAACAAACCCTAGCTCCCTCTATGAAGGTATCGACTTCTACACCTCCATCACCCGTGCCCGCTTCGAGGAGCTGTGCCAGGACCTCTTCCGCTCCACCATGGAGCCTGTCGAGCGTGTCCTCCGCGATGCCAAGATCGACAAGTCCTCTGTCCACGAGATCGTCCTCGTCGGTGGATCCACCCGTATCCCCAAGGTCCAGAAGATGGTCTCCGACTTCTTCAACGGAAAGGAGCCCAACAAGTCCATCAACCCCGATGAGGCTGTCGCCTACGGTGCTGCCGTCCAGGCTGCCATCCTGTCCGGTGACACATCTTCCAAGTCCACCTCCGAGATCCTGCTCCTCGATGTCGCGCCGCTCTCCATCGGTATTGAGACCGCTGGTGGTGTCATGACTCCTCTCATCAAGCGCAACACCACCATCCCCACCAAGAAGTCCGAGGTCTTCTCTACCTTCAGCGACAACCAGCCTGGTGTGCTCATCCAAGTCTACGAGGGTGAGCGTGCCCGCACTAAGGACAACAACCTGCTCGGCAAGTTCGAGCTGACCGGCATCCCACCTGCTCCTCGTGGTGTTCCTCAGATCGAGGTCACCTTCGACGTCGACGCCAACGGTATCATCAACGTCTCCGCCCTTGAGAAGGGTACCGGAAAGACCAACAAGATCGTCATCACCAACGACAAGGGCCGTCTCTCCAAGGAGGAGATCGAGCGCATGTTGGCCGAGGCTGAGAAGTACAAGGCCGAGGATGAGGCTGAGGCTGCCCGTATCGCCGCCAAGAACGCTCTCGAGTCCTACGCCTACTCTCTGCGCAACACCCTCAGCGACTCCAAGGTCGACGAGAAGCTCGATGCTGGTGACAAGGAGAAGCTCAAGGCCGAGATCGACAAGACCGTCGCCTGGTTGGACGACAACCAGACCGCCACCAAGGACGAGTACGAGTCTCAGCAGAAGGAGCTCGAGGGTGTCGCCAACCCCATCATGATGAAGTTCTACGGAGCTGGTGGTGAGGGTGGCATGCCTGGCGGTATGCCCGGCGGTGCTCCCGGCGGCGCCCACGGTGGTGCTGGCGGCGATGATGGCCCAACTGTCGAGGAGGTTGACTAAGTGGATCGCTCCTCAGCAGTCTCTTTGTCTTCTTCAGCATCTTCTAGCATAGACATTTTCCATGGGATTAGTTCACGGAGTTCCAGGCTTATGAGCCCTTTTCATTTGTTTTCCTAACTGCATCGGATGACTAACGATCAATGACTTTGGGAGGAAAAGTTCGGTGGTAGCATGTACTCTAATAATAGGGTTTAATATCCTGTGTAGAGAATTGAAACGACATTTCAAAATACTTGACTGTGTGCATCTTGCTTGGTGTTTGTGACTATGTGTTGACTTTAGAAGAACATGCGACAAGAGAAACATCTGGACTATGATCGAGAGAGGCTGTTGGACAGTTTACCATCATTCCAATGACTAATTAAAGTACAGCAGTATGAGCACCGCTTTACATTGTGGTGTATCTCCGCACAGCGGAGTGTAACTAACTTGAAAGCAAAACTAAACATTTAAAAAGGGCAACTGATAATGAAATACCACATCGAGCATTGGCTGATCACACCTATTCCTCAGCTTCCACTCTGTCACGACCGTCATGTGCACACCGCATACCGTCAACTCTCCTTTCCACACTCTCAAACCCTTCTCTCTACGCAAAGTCGTCGCACAGCTCAAGCGTAATATCTGCCTCTCCCTTCAAATACGCAGCCGTATAATCCGGCTTCGGCTCCCCATACCAAAGAATCTGCTCCACAGGCTTCCCCTCCGTATTATGAATGCGCAGCTTCTTCCCCTTGAACGCGAAGCCATTGACGGTACTCAAGCTATAGTACAGCCCCGTGACGTTGCTCCATGAATACCCTAGGATCAAGATGGGCTGCGGGTTATTGGGGCCGGGTTCCGTCGTTGTTACTTGGATGGAGACGCCGGTGCCGCGGTCTGGATTCCTTTGTTCTTCCGAGAAGGTAGAGCCGGGGGGTATGTTTTGGGTTTGGCCTGCTTGGCCTTGGACTGAGGTTAACCACACGGGGAAGTCGCATTTGTTGTGGACTTTGGCTTGGGCGGCTAGGGCGGTGCTGGCGGAGAGGGAGAGGGAAGTGAGGAGGGTTGGAAGATACATGTTTGAGGAAGGGGGGAATAGTGGTGCTGTTTTTAGAAAAGATGAGGGATGGTAGCGGGTGAGCAGTGTGAAGGTTACTATCAAGCGTGATTGAGATGGTATGGTTATTTGGGCTTCATTGGGAGGAATCAACCTCGTCTTATACCCGCCGAAAACGCCTCAATTCGCCTTTAGTATTTCCCACCGTTTCCTGTATTCAATAGCTTTGTCCAAAGGAAAGAGGGTCAGCAAGCCAGTGCTACATTACTATCCATATGAGTGCTCTTGTACCAGATACCAAACATAGCATCGTCTTCCAATTGGACGCACGTGTTCAGATGATTTCGTGTCCAGTATAAGGCAGTTGCCTTTGTTTCGTTGGAAGCAAGGCCCTTAGTCCGACGGTCCAACGTGGTGCAATAGACAGCATGGCCAAGCTCTTGAGGTACACATGGTGCAACTACCCGTACCGTCCGCGGCAAACTAGCAAATACCTCGCGAGCCAATTGATGGCCCCAGCGCATACAAGATCCGGATCTTGGGTATGCAGAAAAACATGATTGACGGGAGTAGGGTGGGGAGAGAGGTAAAGGGTTGCGCGTCGATACTGTTGTGCCAGAAGGCTGTCACAAAGTCCGAGGCGGGTGTTCCTATTGAGTACTCCGGTCACTGGATAGATTCATGTGACTGCAATAGTCTCTTTGTCATGCTATTGACTTGTCTAGCTGAAACGACTACGACATTTTCTAGATAGAAGGAGGTTGTCCAGCTTCTATCCATCTCGTCAAGGTAATGTCCGTTAGGACAATGTTTACAAGAAGCACCTTTAATACCATATCTTCTTTCTTTGATTTTCGTCTTAGCTTTACTTGATAGTAACAGCTTGTGTGATGTCCGGCGTTTTGACTATACTATATAGGATATTCGAATAGAGCATTCGATATTGTCAGTGTGAGATCTTCATCTGAACCTGTTCGTCTCGCAATCATCCAGCTCTATATTGAACAAAGCATAGGCTGGGATACTTATTAGCTATTTATATTACTGTAGCTGTGCAGCTACTAGCCACACCTGAGATACATCCAGCAATTTCTTCTTCCCGCACTTAAGTCTCCTACTACCGGACAAGCCTAGCTCAGCATGTCCGCTCAGTATGTCCGTCTAGCACGTCTGTCCAGCATGTCCGCCCAACATGTCCAATCAGCATATCTACTTGGCATGTCCGCTCATCATGTCCGCGAAGTATATCTGCTTAGCATGTCCGCCCAGCGTGTCCACTCAGTTTGTCTACCTACAGGACGTAGACTAATGATCCAATAAAGCCATTGTCTGGAATATATTGCTACAAGCTGCTTTACTCAACTGATTACAATGTGTGACATAGAATTATATTGCCTTAGTCTCATGTCACAAGGACGCTATCATTACGAAGTTCCAAAGATTCGTCAATCGCCGTGCACAAAAACAAGCCACCCACTGTGTGTTCTAGTCAGGGGTTCAAGAGATGGAAAAAATCATCGCGCTATACTTAGTGTTTGCACCAATCCGCGTCCTCGACAAAGCGACGGATTACCGCACAACCCCGCAAATCCTTGTTAGATGCAAAAAGAGATAGACACCCATCGCAACAACGCTGGCAGTTATAAAAGAACAGCAAAAAAAGAGAATTTCCGACACCGGGAATCGAACCCGGGCCTTGCCGGCACTGAACAGTGAACTGACTCTGCAATGAGAGCGGCAAATCCTAGCCACTAGACCATATCGGATGTTGTTTGATTGATAGAAGTTTTCGAGGTGATTAAATCCATACACTGCAGTATAAAAATTGAATTAAAAATGAAAACAGATCCAAGTAGCTTATCGGCAAAGCTAACTAGCAAGAACATGTCGCCGAAGCAAAACTTCTGCAAGCGCTATTCTTTCCTATATCGGCCTAGATAGAAAACCCGACCCGAAGACGTAATCGAATGCATACATGCAACCACAGGCAAGTCGGTATGTATCCGAGGCAAAGACTCGTTCTTCTAATACCGAGCAACATGATTCTTCGTGCGAATGCATGACTATAATCATAACAGCGATTGCTTACACTAAGCATACGTATCAGAGTTTGACGTCCAAGTCAAAAATGGCTCATTCAGACTAAAACTATACGTAGCAAGAGCCGAGAATGACTCCTGGATATGCTGCACTTAGTGCGGCCAGGCTAGACGGACCAGTGTAATCATAGATGACTCCCGGTTTCGCCGCATGCCCCGCGCAACAAAAAAGTTCCCCGCGATCATTGACTTGAACTCGACACTTGAAATCCCCACGATAGCAGTTCAGCAATGGCAATCAAAAACACAGCATTCGACCTGCAGACATGCGCGCGACCCAACATTCTCGCGTTGGAGCCGTACCGATGCGCGCGCGAGTAGGTGAAGCTCAAATGACGCTGATTGCGGTACTCAGACTGACACGAGTACGCAGCGACTACAAAGACGACGGAACCAACATTCTCCTCGACGCGAATGAGAACGCGTACGGGCCGGGCCTTTCATTGACGGGAGAGACAAAATCAAAAGTCAATGGCGCATCCGACTCATCGTATGCGATTGACATTGATTTACTTGGTCTGAACCGCTACCCAGATCCGTACGCACGCCGCTCTGTATCCTGTGCTGGGGTCAACAAGAACTAACACATGGCCACGCAGCCACCAAGAAGAACTCAAGCAGCTGCTCTGCAATCTCCGAAACACGCACACGCACACATCGAAGATGATCACACCGGCCAACCTGTTTGTTGGCGTGGGCTCGGACGAAGCTATCGACGCGCTGATCCGCGCCTTTTGCATTCCGGGCAAAGAAAAGATCCTCACATGTCCACCCACATATGGCATGTACAGCGTATCGGCGCAAGTCAACGACGTGTCGCTTGTCAAGGTGCCCCTGCAAACACCCAGCTTCGACCTCGATGTACCCGCGATTCTCGATGCGCTGGACCAAGACAAGAATATCAAGCTAGCATACCTGTGTTCACCGGGGAACCCAACAGGCAAGCTGTTGAAAAAGGAAGACGTCCAGCGTGTCCTAGAGCATCAATGGAACGGTGTCGTAGTGCTGGACGAGGCATACATTGACTTCTCGCCTGATGGCACCAGCCTGGCAGAATGGGTATCTGAATGGCCGAACCTTGTGGTCATGCAGACGCTCTCCAAAGCCTTTGGCCTCGCCGGCATCCGTCTGGGCGCTGCATTTGCCGACCCGGCAATCGCTCAGATCCTAAACAACATGAAGGCGCCATACAACATTCCTAATCCCACCAGTCAACTTGCACGTGCTGCTCTATCACCCAAACATCTAGATGTCATGCACAAGAATCGCAATGCGATTGTCGAGCAGCGCGATCGTATGATTCGCGAATTGCCAAAGATTGCGGGCGTTGGTCCTCTGCACGGCGGCACAGAGTCGAATTTCCTGCTCTACCAGATTCTCGATGCGCCTGCAGACCAGGGTGGCAAGCCGTCAAATGAGACTGCGCTGGCGGTGTACGAGGGGCTGGCAGAGGAAAAGGGTGTAGTGGTTAGGTTTAGAGGCAAGGAGCATGGCTGCTTGGGATGCCTAAGGATAACGGTGGGTACGGAGAAGGAAGTGGATCGGTTTTTGCAAGAGCTTCAGGCTGTTTTGAAAGCGATCCATCAAAGAACGGGCAAGTTGGGAGGCAAGGATGAGGAGCGGAGAGAGCAGGAGGCGAGTGACGTTGTAGCATAAGGTTTCGATGAGACGTAGATGAGAACTGGATATAGCAATTCGGATCTTTCCGTGGCAAGGTTGCAGTCGCAACAATTGATCGACACGACCGTTTGTTTGCACGTCTCGGGTAGATAACATTTAACTTTCGTTCCGTTCCTTCCTTGAACATCATTCCGCTCGCACGTCCACATCCTCATACATCCACGTCTCGTCGCCCCCACCGCATGGCGCATACAAGCATTTTCTGATACCTCCGTCTTCAAATACGGGCACGACATCGCGCTCCGCCACCTTCATGGCCCACATGATGACCCTCGCGCCCAGGTGCTCAGTCCGACCATCGATAAACACAGGCGCCGTACTATCAGCTGGCTGATTCACAAATGTAAGACCAAGGTCATCTAGCACGTCGCTGGGAGTGGTGCTAGGATCAGCAGAAGGGAGGTGCACAAAGTCTACGAGGTGTTCGTCAACAAAGGTGTATGTTTCTACGTCTTCGATACCGTCTTCAAGCGTTGGGAGCGCGTGCTGGGCACATAGGCTGCGCACGAGGGTAAAGACGGACACTTTGTCCGTTTCTGGTGTTGTTAACATTGTGGAAATTAGCACGGTAAGCAGTAATGCCCATTTTAGACTGTCGTCGTGAGTCTTTTCCAAGCCATGTTTTTGGAGCGCAGCTGTGAACTTTGCTGTTGCTGTGGGCATATCCTTTTTGAAAGCCGATAGGACCTCAGGCAAGCTATGCAAGGACCTGTTTGAAGTATCCCGGTCTGATGCCCGTAGCCTGGCTACTGCAGCCTGGAGTTCTTGCCGCACCGAGTGAATGATGCGGGCTTGACCATCACGGTAAATCTTTGCATACTTTTGCTTGGTGTTTTGGGGTTCCTGCTCTATACGGAGAGGGAGGGAGGCGCATCTCTGCTCCAGCGCCTGATGTAAAAGTACCAAGACCTGCAGCGTGATCCTTGCTCCAGGTCGAGCAACGTCGATGCTACTTATATCCACTTCTGCGGTAATAATTGTCTGGATGAAGAAGAAGTGAACAATATACGGGGGCACACCACGGAAAAAGGGCACATTGTTGTCATACCGCCCGAATGGGTGACCTCTGGTACGCAAAAAGTGCTGTTCTTTGTTTGGATCTGTGGCGAGGAAATCCCGAGTCATCTCAAAAGGCACGTTTTTGCCATCTAGTAGACCGAGCTGCTGCGCGTATTGCTGCAGCTGCGGCTGAAACGCTAGTTTCAAGGCAAACTGCTCAATTGGGTTGTCCTCGAGACAGAAACCGTATCCAAGGAGCAGCTCATCATTCTGCTTGGGCGCATAGTTGTTGAAAAGCTCCTCTCCCGGTTGGACAGAGTCGCCTTGGAGGCACTTGAGTGCGAATGAGCGATGTGGTTCAAAGTCCCATTCGACCTTTGCAGTGACGGAATGGTTTAGAATATCAATGACTGGGAAGAGCATGGGTATTGTCTCTCTGCCAGGTAAGATATGAGTGGAGATGAATGCGCGCGAAGTGAAGATGGTAGCGGCCCATTGCAGCGATTCGCTGACTAGTGTTAGCGGGGTGTGTATGGCGTCTGATGTAATGTGCAGACAAAGCAAATCAAATTGGTCATTCAACACGTCGAGGGCATCACGTATTCAATTGCCGAGTGGACAGCATGGGCCTACTGCACGCCTGAGACACCATGTTTGGGCTGCTTTGGGTGGCCTGCGCTAGGAAACTTACAGAGAGATAACGTCAGCCAGATGCATGTCAAAGTGCTTCATGACTTGTACGGCGTGCTCCCGTTGCTGGTGTAGCTCAGCCTTTCTTTCTTTTGCGGCGGGCGCCAAGGATGTGCCAGCCAGAAAGGCGAAGTCGACATCATCAAACCAGAGAGGAGTGGTCATGTTTTGAGGCCCAGGTAAGCATGCTAGATAAGCGCTCCAAGGCGAGTCGTTGCCCTTGTCGCGCTGCTCTAGCAACATAAGATATGCCAAGATATGGTCTGGGATCTTGTCTCGACATTGCTGCAAAGGTGACTGGATATGTTGCATCCCTTTCTCACCGGGGTCTAGGTTGAGGATGGAGAGGGTAAGGCTGAGCGGACACGATGCCACGACAGGCGAGGTTAATGGCGCCCGGGCACACAGGTGGAAGCCTTGAGCGTGCGTGTAGGCGAGCTGGACCTGCGGGCTCAGGTGGCCCCCATGCTGGACGAACCAATTGACGAGGTTCTCAGCTAGTGATTGAGGAGCAACGTCTAGGGCTGATGTGTGCTCCGTTTGGGAAGCCATGAGCGACAAGGTTTGGGCTTTGCTGCTTGGCGTGATTGATCAGATTTCAGACGGCGAGTTGCAGGCGCAATGGTGCAGAGCTTGTGCGACGATTCGGAGGGTGGTTCGTCCGATGGAGTTTTGGAGCGGGCGATGTGCAGCTGACGAGAGCTCGGTCTCGGAGAAAAATGGAAGTGCGCGGAAAACGGACGCCGGGAGAACCGAAGATCGGATTCGAGGCAGCATGTGGTGGCATGGTGGTGAGCAGTTGCGGGGCCTTGCAGCATGGGTTGCGTGTCTCGGCGAGGTGCGTGTCATTGTCGGTGAGGAAGGAGGAGGGGAAGGGGGGGGGGAGGAGAATGCAGATGGGAGGCTGTTGCTATGCCACAGGCGGTGGTGGCTGCTGGCCTGGGACATGGCATACATACATACATACAAACTGTAGCTAGCTTCGGGTTTAAACATGCTGGTACCTACATAGTTGCAGATGCAGTGGACATCAACATGCTACTTACTTGGGATATGCGTGGGGCCCACTCGGTAGTACATGTGATAACTACCGTAAAACATACAGGACATCGGGCCTCGGCGGGTATGATTTTTGCTTGGCCTCGCATGGTGTGGTGGTGTAGGGCCGATGGAGAAAGTGTGGAGAGGCGGGATGGATCGATAGGTACGTACATATGTAGGTATGTCGTAGTGTATACTTGTAGTATTGGCAACTGTCCATGGGCCAGCCTATAGCGGGAGCCGTGGGAGCCGGGCGTCGATCCAAGCAGCTGCATCGGTCGAGTGCGCATCGTATAGGCCGTATGGGTGCGTGTGCGTGTCAGGGTGTATGGATGGACGCAAGTATAGTAGCAGGCGAGGCGGATACGGCGAGACGAGCCAATCACGCCGGCCCCGTTGGCAGCAGAGTCTGGGCCGGACATGGCTCGTGTCGTGGTTTCGAACTGGGAGCGGGCGTGCGCTAGCGGGAGGTCGACGGTTGACATGACGGGCGTCGCAGCCTGCCTGTGTCTTGTGCGTCGACAATGCGGACAAGAAGTAAAGTCCATGTCCGCCGCCGCGCGGTGAATGACCTCTGGCGGCGGCCCTGTCGACCTCATCTTTTTCCTCTTGTCCTCTTTCCGCCCTCGTGTCTTTTTGGTCTCTTGTCGTGGTTGCTTGTGTTCCTGGCGGGCTGCCTCTGCTTTCTTCGCATGTTACGTACAGAGTTGCTAGTACTGTATGCATCCCTCAGCCTCTCGTACCCCTGCCCTGCATAACTCCTAGCTTGTGCTCACTGTGGCTTGTAAGTCAGACTCCCGTTTGGCGCTTGACAGAGGCCATTCCTTTATAATAATAATGGCCTCGCATCCTACAGCCGATATTTCCCAAAGTGCTGACAGTCTCCTCAGAATGCCTCTTCCTTCTGTCCCATAGCCGGAGCAATGCTGATGGACATGTTGGCCGCCAATCCCACCACCACCACCGCCACAACTAATGCCTCCTTCCTTCACAAGCCACTCTCCCTCCTAGGCTCCGTCTTGCGGGGCCAAACTCCCTCCCCTGACATGTCCACAACAACAACAACAACAAAAACAATAACACACGACACCCCTCCGCTTGACAATTCTTCCTCTCGCCCTGCTTCTGCCGGCAGCGACACCACTGCTGACAAGGTCAAAAAACCCTCGCGCCGCTCAAAGACATCCTACAACATCGCCCGTCCCATAAACACTCGCTCAAAGCGCCACGTCCACCTCCAGCTACACCAGGTCATTACCTCGCAACGCCCCAAGCCCGCCTACGACGTCGTCCCCTTTTCCCTCCTCCCTCAGCGCTCCACCCGTCACCTGGCCCACTTCTTCAACACCAGGGAGCGATTAGGCCCCAACGACCTCCTTGTCGTCAAGGCCGGAGCCTACACATCGCAAGATGAGCAAGAAAAGTCGCGCCAGGATGATTGGGCCTCGCGCGACGTCGTCGGCGTCCTGAGCACACGCAAAAGCGACAACGGTCTTACCGAGACCACCGACATCTGCATCAGCGATGGATTCAGTCGCTGGTCAGTCGCAGACATGCCCAATGGGGGTTACGAATTCACCTCCACCGACGAGCATGCTGTTGCGCTCAAGGCACGCTGGGTACTCAAGCCTGCACATGCCCGCCGCACCTCGGCCTCGACAGTTACTGCTACTGCACCAGAGGACAAGAAGTTCACCTTTAGCACAATCAGTTCCGACTCAAGGCGACACCCCATCATTGCCACAATGACACGCAGCCGCATCGACGTTATGGACACATACACCATTCCCTCGGCCACCTCTCCTCCGACCCCAAACGCCACATCCTCGTATACCCAGTCGCCTACAACACCTCTCAGCATCGACTCCGATTCCTTTGCTGATGCCCTTGCTGAAAAGCTTCCCATCGAAACTAACGAAGCCCTCCGCAACCTCATACTGGTGTCTGGTGTCTGGCTTGCTTCCAGAGAATTTGCCTCGGATGGCTCCAGCCTAGCGACCATTCCAGCCCTGACTCGGAGCAATTCAGTCCGCCAGGCCGCTCATCGTGCATGTTCAATGAGTATGCTCGAGGGCCCTCGCTCACCATCGCCAGCTTCAACAGTCGAAGAGAAGCGTCGTTCATTTCCACGAATGTTGAAGGCCAGCATCGAAGGACTGTCCCATGCACACGCCGATGCTCCTCCCTCTCCTGCTTCCACTAAAACAGCGGCCAAGGCATCCCCGGTGGTCACAACACGCTCACGGAGAGCAAACTCGACTGGCACTGCCATCCATAGCATCACTGGCAGTGCGAGAAAGAGATACGGGCTAGCTTTCGAAGACGAAACTTTGGTGGAAAGCACAGAAGAGCGCCAGATGAAACGCAGCATAGAGTTACTTCGTATTAGAGAGCTACAACTGCCTTCTCCCATAGAACGTCCATCTGTCGAGACATCTCGACCCGATGCCAACCAGCTTCCCTCTCCTATCGTTATACCTCCCTCACCAGTAGAGCCAGCCTCCCCTGCACCGTTGCTCGACTCGCCCTTGCTTTCCCCGCCTCTCCCGGACACAAAGCGACCACGAAAGACACAATCTACCTACGCACCGATTACGACAACTGGCATGTGGGATTCTGGAGTTGTCGACGGCCCCGGTCTAAAGAAACGCCCTACCAGCATGTTTGTCATGAACGAAAAGAAGCGCAAGCAAGAGAAGAAGGGCGAACGAAGTAAGAGCAAGGATTCAAAAACGAGGAAGGGCGAACAGAGCAGCGATCACAGCATGGGTGTCAAGAGAAAGAGTGACTGGTATGTGTACAAGATCAAGCTTCGCCTTAAAGACATGTTTCATCACAAGGAGAGGGCTTAATTGCAAATATGCCCTCTCAGCCATGACCTTATATTTTGGTCTACAATTCTTTTCATTACATCGGGGTGGAGTTTTCCTGGAGCATTTGGGTATGACACAGCATTTCTCTTCTTTTCGTCTTCTCTTTTCATTTCACAACAACTGTTAGCAGAATCAGGCTGGACCTGTTGGTTCGGGCTCCTTTGTCCAATCGGTATTTCTACTGTACACTACGCTCTCCTTGCCTTCTAACCTGTAGATACCTTTGCCTATTAGGCCACCTAGATCAACGTCACTCCCTCCGCATTTTCCCTTTATTTTGGTTAGGTTAGGAAATCCGCAATTTCTTGTGCCAAATACAAATTATTCGAAATCATTATGCATTGAACATGCTCATTTGCTCGACTTTTGATTATAGGACCGATAATATCTCCGAACTTTGCCTAGCGCTCTTTTTTTGGATCCGTTTTTATTACCTTATGCAGTGGGTGGGTGATCCCCTCGACCAAACCTTGAACTAGGATGATGCCAGTGAGACAGTGCTTATATCGTACCGTATCCTTACTATGGTGCTTATCCTGGTTCCAGGGTTCCGTGACCCGTTCCTTCTCAATTCATGCCTGTTTCGGAACATAATTCAAAATCAACCTTTGTGTTTGTCCGCCCCGGAGGGCCGGACATTGAAATCCGAGATCCGAGAGGGTAATATTTTTTTTAAAGTTTTTCTTTTCTTTGCAAGCCATGTGCTGTATACTAGCGCTGGTATGAATATTTGTGGACACCTTGACGTCCGGTTCGGCCGAATGGGCAGTGGATGAACGGAGGAGGAGGAAATCCGAGATCCCTTCTTGATTTGGTTATTGATTTGCCGAGTCGAGATCATGTACAGTCCTGCTTGCTGGAAGAGATCGAGATGAACCCTTTTTCTTGGCATGTTTCTACTAATAAGCACGAAAGCCTCCAGCAGTATTACGATTGCGTGTTGCCGTTCGCCATCACCAATGTTGATATCCTGACCTTGCTCGGTAGGAGAAAAGCTACGCAACTTCTGTCTATTCGACTGTTAAAAGAGAGTGGTGCTCTGCCCCTCACGATCGCTAGCCTGGTGTTTTGCATTCGAAGCTGCAGCCTGAGTTTGGATGTTGCGCTCACCTTTGGCATGTGAAAGGTGTACCAGTGGCTACTATGCAGCGATTGCTGTCGTTGCAGACCTTGACGCCCTTCATGCCATCACTCTTCTCTATCATCATCACACTCGGAGTGCAACTATCACAGCTGTCTCATCGTCCTGCTTTTCACGATGGACGTTGTGGTGCTCGTGGCTCACTGCAATACAACTTGTGAACTCCTAAAAGCCCCGCACTAGCGTCCGACTAGCGTGCATTCCCCTGCAGCCTCTCGCTTTGGCAACGCAAACGCGTAAACACTGACCCTCATGTAGCAAAACACGCCTTCACATTCAACTTCATCGCCACCACACCTTCCTTTCGTCTACATTCGTTGCATCTTGCCCGTGTCTTGTCGCTCGAACAGTCACGTGTGACAAGTGCTTTTTTTCTTTCGACCTTGTCCCCCGTCCTGGGGACTCGACTTTAGCCCACCATGTCCGACTCCCTAATGGACGACTCCGTATTCGACGAAGGCGCGAGCTCTGACTTCGCCCCGCCTGCAAAGGCCGCCAAAGCCACCAAGGCAGCGGCGAAACCGAAAGCACCCGCCACAAAGAAAGCAGCTGGTCCTGCAAAACCTCGAGGCAGACCCGCCGGCGCCACTGCAAAGCCGAAAGCGAAGGCTGCACCTAAGAAGAAGGCAAAGGCCGACTCAGACATCGAGAACTCAGATGTAGACATGGATGAGGACCCTGTAGACGTCGATGAGTCGCTGCTCGCAGACACACCAAAGCCCAAAAAAGCACCAGCCCCCAAGAAGCCGAGCAGCAAACCCCCCGCAGATATTGCCAATGACAGCTTTGGTGGAGATGGCGATGACGAGCCAGCTGCAAAGCCCAAGAAGGGCGGTGCCAGCAGCAAGTACCAGATGGTGAGTATTGCAATTGCAATTGGCGAAATACCGACTAACACAATCATAGTTGACGCACTTGGAGCATATTATGAAGCGCCCTGATACATACATTGGTTCCGTAGAACGACAAACGGATAAGATGTGGGTGTATAATTCGGAGAGCGAGGCGATGGAATACCGTGACGTGTCATACGTCCCCGGTCTGTACAAGATCTTTGACGAGATTCTTGTCAACGCCGCCGATAACAAACAAAACGACAAGAATATGAGTGAGATCAGAGTAACGGTCGACCGAGAGAGTGGCGAGATCTCCATCAGGAACGATGGCAAGGGAATTCCAATTGAGATTCATAAAGTGTGTTGCCCACGACCTCCTAAAATTACCTGCTGACTCGGTTAGGAACACGGCATCTATGTACCAGAGATGATTTTCGGTCATCTTCTCACCTCGTCCAACTATGACGACGACCAACAAAAAGTCACCGGTGGTCGCAACGGTTACGGAGCCAAGCTCTGTAACGTATTCAGTACCGAATTCACAGTCGAGACCGTCGATTCGAAACAGAAGAAGAAGTACAAGCAAACATGGACGGAGAACATGAGCAAGATGGGCAAAGCCAAGATTACCGACATCAAAGCGGACGATTACACTAAGGTCAGCTGGAAGGCCGACTACGCTAGGTTCGGCATGGAGGGCATCGACGACGATTTTGAAGCCATGGTCAAACGCAGGACCTACGATATGGCGGGTACGCTACGGGGCGTCAAGGTTTACCTTAACGGCGAGCGCATCAAGATCACATCGTTTGCCAAATACATGGAAATGTACACAAAGTCTATCTCGCGCGACCAGGGCAACAGCGAAGATGAGAAGGAGAAGGATGTCATCATTACCGACAAGCTCGAACGCTGGGACATTGGTTTTGCTGTTTCAGATGGTGCCTTTAATCAGGTATCCTTTGTCAACTCTATCGCGACAACATCCGGTGGTACGCACGTAAATCACATTGCCGACCAGATCGTCGAGAAGCTCATGGCCATTGTCAACAAGAAAAACAAAGCCGCTGTCAAGCTCAAGCCTGCACAGATTAAGAACCATCTTTTTCTGTTTGTCAATTGTTCCATCGTGAACCCTGCCTTCACATCTCAGACAAAAGAGCAGCTCACTACCAAGCCCAGTCAGTTTGGCAGCAAGCCCGTCCTCAGCGACAAGTTCCTGAATGCCATTGCCAAGACCGATGTCATTCAGAACATTATGCACTTTGCTCAGCAAAAGGCTGACCAGATGATGAAGAAGACCGATGGCAACAAGCGTAACCGAATCAACAACGCAAAGTTGACAGATGCCAATAAGGCGGGCACCAAGGACGGACATCTTTGCACTCTCATCCTCACTGAGGGTGAGTCGGCTAGTGTTCTTGCACTTGCTGGACGTGCTGTCGTCAACCAGGACTTGTTTGGTGTCTTCCCGCTTCGTGGTAAGCTTCTCAACGTCCGTGACGCCACGGTCGATCAGATCATGAAGAATGCCGAGATTCAGAACATCAAGAAATTCATGGGTCTTCAGCACAAGAAGGAGTATACGGTGGCAGACATGAAAAGCTTGCGTTACGGCCATCTCATGATTATGACGGATCAGGATCACGACGGTAGCCATATCAAGGGGCTGTTGATCAACTTTCTTCAGTGCCAGTTTCCGAGCTTGCTCAAGATCCCAGGTTTCCTACTGGAGTTCATCACGCCCATTGTCAAGGTCTGGAAGGGTGACCAAAAGAACCCACGCAACATGAAGAGTTTCTTCTCCATGCCAGAATACGAGGAGTGGAAAGAACAACACGCACATGAAAAGGGCTGGGATCACAAGTACTACAAGGGATTGGGTACCAGCGACATTCCCGATGCTCAGATTTACTTCAAGGATCTCGACACCCATATGAAGCGCTTCCAGGTCATGCGAGAAGAGGAGGAAAAGCTCATAGAATTGGCTTTCTCGAAGAAGAAGGCGGATGCTCGTAAAGACTGGCTACGCGACTTTGTACCAGGTCGGCATCTTGACCTGACCACTCCAGACATTTCCTATGACGATTTCGTCAACAAGGAATTGATTCTGTTTTCCATGGCTGATAACGTGCGATCTATCCCGTCCGTTATTGATGGCCTGAAGCCCGGTCAGCGGAAAGTGATGTACACTTGCTTTAGGCGTAACATCAAGAAGGATGTCAAGGTGGTTGAGCTTGCTGGTGCAGTCTCCGGATCTACCGACTATGCTCACGGAGAAGCTTCGATGCAGGGTACCATTGTCGGTCTCGCACAGAATTTTGTTGGAACCAACAATATAAACTTCTTGGAGCCAAGTGGTAACTTTGGTTCTCGTCTCAAGGGTGGTGCCGACGCTGCCAGCGCCAGGTACATTTACACTCGTCTGACACCATTTGCAAGACGCATCTTTCATCCCCACGATGATGCGTTATTGAAGTACGGCGAATCCGATGGCAACAAGATTGAACCGGAGATGTATGTACCCATTCTGCCTACGATTCTCATTAATGGCTCAAGTGGTATCGGTACTGGTTGGAGTTCTGAAATTCCTAACTTTAACCCCATGGATATCATCGAGAACATCAGGCGCCGAATGCAACCAGGTGCTACCAAAGAGGATATGTCACCTATGGTCCCCTGGTATAAGGGCTTCACCGGAACGACCACTGTCCTTGGTCCTGACCGCTACCAGTTCACGGGTACTGTTCGACAGACTGGTGATAACGAGATTGAAATCACTGAGCTTCCTGTTCGCTACTGGACCCAGGACTTCAAGGAGAAACTTGAGGAAATCATCAAGGCGGAAAAGGGTCCCTCATTTATCAAGGATTACATTGACTACAACACCCCAGATCGCGTCCACTTTGTCATCAAGATGGAGGACAAGTACATGACAGCCGCTCTTGCTAAGGGCCTCGAGGAGATGTTCAAATTATACAAGCCTCAAGCCACCAGCAATCTTGTTGCATTCGATGCACAAGGACGTATTCACAAGTACTCAACCGTCCTTGACATTATTGAGGAATTTTACCACATCCGTCTGCGGTACTACGAGAAGCGAAAGCAACATCAACTTCAAGTCATGGAGAAGGAGCTTCTCAAGTTGACGAACCAAGCTAGATTCATTCAGATGATTATCGATGGAAAGCTTACGGTTTCCAAGAAGAAGAAGTCTGCCCTTGTCCAAGAACTCAAGAAACTTGGCTTTGCACCGGTCCCCAAGGTCGAAGATGCGAAGAATGCAGGCGAAGAGGAAGATGCTCAGGAGGACGAATCAGACGAGGCTGAAGTCGAAGTGTCCGCCAACGACTACGACTATTTGCTTGGCGTAAGTACTCATACACCTGAATAGTGTGTCAAAATGCTAACAGTTTACAGATGGCCATTTGGTCTTTGACGCAAGAGCGGGTCGAAAAGCTCTTGAAGCAGATTGGCGAGAGGCAGGAAGAGGTCGACACCCTTATCAAACTCTCACCCAAGGATATCTGGAACGTTGACCTTGACGCGTTCATGGATGAATGGAATGTGCAGCAAGAAGAAGAAACCAAGCGCAAGAAGAAGATTGCTAGCATGACCCGTCGCGCTTCCCAGAAACTTGGCATTGCTGGAGGCAAGGGTACCAAGGGAAAGAAGAAGAGAAAGATGGACGGCTCTGACTCGGACGCTTCTGACTCGGACTTTGGCCCGGCTAAGAAGAAGCCAAAGCCCAAGAAAGAGGGACTGCTCAGTTACCTTCAACAAGAACCTGTCAAGAAGCCATCAGCAGCAGAAGCTCTCAAGAGCAGTAGCGCGTTCGGCTCCGCGGCACCACAGAAACAAGGTACGCTGCTCTCACATCTCGTGAAGAAGGAGGCAACACCGCAGACCGATGGAGCGTCGGATAGCAGGCCAGGCACTGCAGACTCAAAGCCAGCACCTGCGAAGCGGGGTCGCCCTGCTGGTTCAAAGGCTATCAAGAAAGACCCGGTTCCTTCGGATGACGAAGACTCCGACGTCTTTGCTGCAGTAGCTGCGGAAGCCGCCAAAGAGCCTGCGAAAGCTGCTGCCCCAGCTCGAGCTGCTCGAGGCGCAACCAAACAAGCGACCAAATACAACCTCGGTAGCGACTCTGACGATGACGACGAGGATCTCCTTGGCGACGTCAGCAGCATGGTCAAGACAATCGGATCTGGTACAAACGGCGTCCCAATGTTTAAGACGACAACTGTGGCCCGGCCAGGTAGCAATGGCAACCCTCGCTCTGGCAGTTCGGCTGGCATCAAAAAGAACAGCATTGTTGATGTGGACGGTGACACTACCAACTACGAAGGTCTAATGCCTCAGTCTTCACCACAGCGCCCTGCTCCTCGAAATGTCAATGACACTATCATGAGCTCGGATGATGATGACTTCAACCTCAGTGTCAAGAAACCAGCTGCGACTAAGTTGACTGCTAGACCCGCCCCGAAACCCAAGGCTGCTGCTGTCAAACCTGTACCAAAGCCGAAAGCCGTTGCGAAGAAGCCTGCTGCTCAGAGCCCAGCAGCGAAGGCTTACGCGAAGAAGCATGGCAAGGACACAGAAACAGGCAAGACCGCATCCAAGAAGAAGAAGGCTGCCGATTCAGATGAAGACAAGGATATGGAGGACGCAGACGATCTTGCCAACGACCTACTGTCGGACGAAGATGAAGATGAGCCAACTCCCAAGCCAGCTGCACGCGCACCTGCCGCTCGGCCTGGTCGCAGAGCTGCTGCTAAGCCGGCCAAGTACGTTGTTAGTGATGACGAAGCCGACTCTGATGATGCGTCTGAGCCTAGTTTCGATGACGACGATGACAGCGAGTAAACTGACTAGCTTGATGGAGGTCTCTATGTACATGTGAGGGGGTGGTGGGTTGTTTGATACCCGGATTAATCAATGGCGTTTTTTTCTGAGACCAGGGGTGTGGCATACGGCTACGGATGCAGTGGTTCACATGGCGTTTGGTGTCGGTGCTTCATAATACGGGGTTTCCACGCATGCGCATACATTATATTACATTCCGCTATATACGCGTAGTTAAATTCATGCGCTTTTGCATTTCTCACATGCTTGCTTTTGTATAGTGACCCGGTTCTATTGTGAGATGCAACAAGTATCTGCACGGTAAAAGACATGCCGGTTACATGAGGCCTGGATCTTACCAACTAGATATTTCCACAGCCTCAGTATTAGAAATAAATCCGTCACTGCGACGACAAGTTTTACACTATATCGAAGAGAAAGTACACACAAGAGTCCAGACCTTTATAGACGCATCCATACTACCCACGTGTACATGCAACACAGAGCCAGCTCCATTCACATACCCGCTCACCCACTCTTCTTCTTCTTCTTCACTAAAACTCGCATAGTGTCCTAAAAAAAAGAAAATACAAATACCTTTCTTTGCTCGGTGCCCTTGAGAGCCTACACACACGTACACGCATCTCGCCTTGCTGCATAATAGCTGGTCACGTTGGAAAGCGAGGACTAAGAGGATTTGGGGAGGGGGGGGGAAAACAACCACGTTTGTAGTCATGAGATCACTTTTGGGGGGGCTTTTCTTTATGGTGATAGGTGGTTATGTGTGTGTGATTTTAGACGGGTGGTAATGGGACAAGTAGAGACGAGGTAAAGAAGGGTGCGTAGGCATGGATGGAAGTGTGTTTGTTACAATATTTGCATAGTTGGGGACTGGGTAGAATAAGAAAATGAGGATAGTCAGGCTGAGTGGGGAGTGAGAAGTGATACATTACTTTGTGGCTATGGGGAAGGGCGTGCTAGGGAAAAATAGGAAGGGCGGAGTGGAGAGCGGAAGTTGTCCCTGCACGGTCTAGATGTTTCTGGTTGTGCTCAGTGTCATGAGCTTCCCTTTACACTGTGCGACAATGGTGTGCTGTTCTCTGCCGGGGTGGGAATATGTGTGTATGTGTGGCGGAAGCACAGCCTAGGGATTTCGGATGGAGGGAAGCCTGAGGCAGCATGACAAATAGTGGTTTGTGAGAAATGAGAGGATGATGACACATATGGGCAGCGATAGCGTAGATAAGTGAGAATTGGGCAAAAGATAAGAAAAAGAGAGGTGTGTATTGGTGCACGCTGCGCGGGCAGATACATGGGATATTTGGAATACACAATATATGGTTGGGGATCTCAGTGGCATGGTGAAGAAGAGGAAAAGGGAAGGGGGAGAATAGTGAGGCATACTAACTTTTGCCCCATTTTGCTTCCAGGCCTGTCTAGGCCCTTTCTTTCCACTTTGTCCAACCCGGCTCTTGTGTTGCAAAAGACTCGCACCGTGACACCTGTCAGAGCTGTCAGGAACATGCCAATCCTTTCTTATTGGTACGTTGTTTAGCCAGAACCATCTACTGTACTACGTTGTCCTCTTTTTGCGCATCTGATCCAGAACGAATCCTTGGAGGGGGGCCAGGATCCGCCGTCCGGATTGCCAAACGCACTGTATGCATGCAAGTTCCCTATTTATGCGTACCTTTTTTTCATACTATCCAATTATTCGTGGTAGATGTGTTCTAGTCGATGGAAGTTCTCGCTCTGTGTCAAATCATGGGAGGCTGTCTTGTACACTACAAAGGCTTCCCAGGTCGATGGAGTCTTGTTCGGGCACTACTTTAGCCTTGTATAGTAGATGGGAATCGCTAGGCAGGCCATCCGCGTATCCGTTAGCCCAGGAAATGAACATGGTGGATTATTGTAGTGCCGATGACGGATATCTATCGTAAGTAGTACTTGTACGAAGAGGGGCGGGGCCAGACCTCATCGTCTCACTTGATTCATCCCTCACTTTTTCCATCATCGAGCGGATGCACTCGCATCCGTGACGTAGTAGGATACCACAGAGATTCTAGATGGCTACCTTCATTAACGGATATACGGGCATGATCAGACGAACCCCTGCTCTGCAGATAATATTGTAGTTCGTCCCACCCTGCAGAAAAACGCCACAAAGCTTGAGTTCATCATCACAGTTGTCCGGCAGAGCCTGCCCGAGGAGACGGGAGGCTCGCCCTCGATTATGGCACATATCCCGGTGCCCCCACGGAATGTGATGTGTTCAAGAGTCTGGTTCTTTGTGACGCCTGTGAGCACTCGTTCCTGGCGTGACAGCGGGACTAGGTTTCTCCATGTGGCAAGCCGGAGGCGATGACCCAGGTACACTCTTGAGCATTACTCAGTGTAAATACAAGCTGGCCGTACCCACAAGTCAAGGAAATAACAATCAAGAAAAGGGTAGTGCAGGCGTGATTCAGTGGGGCAGTGTGTTGATTGCGTTCAAAGCATGTGTCTCGCTACGCTGCGCGGAGCTTGTCTCAACGGGCCACCCGACGGGCACGAGGGATGGAGATTTTGACAACGTCGTCGCACGATATGCTGTAGCAGCGATTTTGGCGCGCCGTTTGAGCTCGGGTGCAAAGCCGAACATGTTGTAACATAAGCTTGAGATGCTGTGAGCAGACCCTTTACGCGTACATACTGCCCCGCTGTGCCACGCCCCTACAGGCATCCCACGCAATAAATTCGCAGTTGATCGAAGCATCCTAAATAACCAAAGCAGCTTTGCAGTCTTATAGACTTTTCAAGAGGCCATGGTGTTTGCGCGTTGTGTGCCAGATAAAGTTCTTCCTTCCAGTGCTCCGAAAAGTAGACAAAGATAGACAGGCATTGGAGGTTGTTGTGTTAACGAAGAGCTTGTATACATATGTATGTACTTAGTCATTTTCGGAAATGTTAAGCGACTCTTTTCAGTATACGTACCTACGCTGGATCTTTGAATGGCTTCAAAGAATTTCTTCGGTCTAGATTCATTGGTGCCAATTACTCGCAGACTTCAGTCAACCTAAAAAACCTCCGTTGCATGGCGACGCTAATCTTGCAGTCAAGAAGATACACATTCTCACATCGACAGTGTTGGAGACACCCAATAGTGAGAACTGTGACCTCTTGCATGATACTGGTGTGTATCCAAGCACGGAGAGCTTAGTGCGTTATGAAAAGTAAGCTATGCTGCCCTCGACAACTCCAGTCATGTGAATCCACCTTAAGAGGTAGGGGTGATAAGACAGCTCCACGAACCGCGCGTATACGTGGGAGGAAGCCCATAGACTTGGCAATGATCCGCCTCGGAGACACTGGCACATATCGTCAGCTGTTCCGGATTCGGGCTGGCAAGCTATTCGCCCTGTGTTTGTCTAAGACACTGCTTCATTTACCGCTCAACCCATATCTCAGGAAACGCTATCTTGAGTCTGGTCCAATGGGTGTAAAATTTGCAAGGATAAAGTGCTCGGTCATGAATTTGTCTTGCTCTTTCTCGGTTCAGATGGCAATATTGGACTCGAGTTCGATAAGCGTTGAGAATTGCCGCCGGCCAATCGTCCTGCCTTTGGCTATGTTCGTCCCTCAGCTCACAGCCCGTACTCGCATCACAGCGGCAATACCCGGGATGCCCCAGGTTACTTGGACTTTCTGTCATCTCACATTGACGGCTTCTGTGTAACCAACGGAAATGGAGAGATTCTGCTGTCTGCATGGCCATCGATTGTGCGTGTGCATATCCTGCGTAGTCTGACACTGTGCGAATGGCCTAGTGTTTCTAATGGCATCATGTTAGCAGCCAATAACATCGGCACTTCAAAGAGCCCTGTGTATGATCTCACGAAGGCGTTGTGCTTTGACCGGAAGGTAGAGTGAGTTGTTCGAATCTCCCACCGCCGGGGGCGCGCAGTGACAGCAGGCTCGGCGGTATGTATCCATGGCACTTCACATGAAGGTACCACTCCTGAAGAACTTGGAGAAAAGATGATCCTAGAAGAACTTTTGGATGTGCTTGGTCAATCAGTTGTTACGGCTTGCCACAGGCAAAGCTGCAGCTTGGCCTTTGTCTTCTTTGAGCGGTCTGTACTGAGACATCATCACCGCTCTTCTCTTTGAATTAGCACTCCATCAGTCCAACTGCATCCTCAAGTAATTGAGACAAGACGCTTTGTTGGTCGATGTCCGGTGAGGCACAGGTCAAGTGAAAGTTGGAATCTAAAAACTTTGCTTCGCGAGTAAGTGAAAAGGCTTGCATCAAAATGCGCCATGTCTCAGTATGAGGAAAGACACATTTCCAGACCGGGAAGTATACCCTGACTCCCTTAGTGGAGATGTATGGTCGATGCGGCAAGCGAGCTCTTTTCTGGGTCATACATCTCGAGTATCCTTAACGGAAGCAAGGCTGATATCACAGACCGATAAAAGATGAACCAATCGATTGCTTCGCTGAATTCAGAATTGTGTAGGCGTCCGAGATACACAAAAAAACGGGCCACGTTTGCAACAAAAGCCAAGAAAGTACGTGCATTTGTATACCGCGGTAGGCTGCAGGTAAACGCACTACCGATTCGTTATTTCACGCCATTCCAACAAGGTGCATGACAGGTGGGCTTGCTCTTCTGAGGTAGCCATAGCCCGGGTAATGGAGGGCTAGTACTATTCTGAAGTGCGGTGGTGTTACCCATGCGTAGGAGAGACACTTGCAGCGTTGCGCGATCGTAGGTAGCCTTCTAGGGTTTCGCCTTCCACTGCCAGCATGACAAATCATTTTCTCTCCAATTGCATCTTGTGTTGACGGGAACCATGTACAGTTAGCTGTGACTCTCAGAAAACGTACTGTTTCTCACTTAGCGTTGTGGTGGACTGGCGATTCGCGTTATTGCCATGGGCGTCCACGTTCCCCAGCCTATTGGAAATGTTTTTGATTGACATTGGCTGTTAGGCCAAGGGCATTAAACAAAGAGGCCGGACCGTATGTCCCTGCTAGGATGCAGGGTTCAGCACGGGAAGTGTGTTTGATGTCTTGTGACACCATTCCCTCGATTCATCTTGCACCATCGCAATGCCCAAAGCCCAGCACTTGTTGTGGGTAACGGTCGTTTGGTCCGACTGTGGGCCCGCCGTCTTGCAGCCTGTCAAGCCATGCAGTGTGCGTCCTGGAACCCAGGCACTCCCACCCACACACCGGACGTCGTCTGCACTGCGCTTAGGCAAGCTTTGGCGACGCAATTCGCTGGGGTGAACAGCTAGTGGGCCGAAGTGAAGGTGGATGTTGATCCGTTAAAAGGAACCAGTGATAGCACAAGTATATGTCGCTGCATTTGTTGTGCATTGGCTGTCTCCTGGAAAGTCACTCCCGAACGATCCTTTACGACATTCGAATTTGCCAGGAATTACTTTGCCCTACGAGCACGTCATTGAAACTGTACCCTTATCACATTCCGGTAAAGAAAGCCCATCCATAGCTGGCTCTCTTCGGTATCAACTGACCTGGCATGTCAAAGTCACCGGCTAGCTTGTATTGCTGCGATAACCCAGCGAATTTATCTGTTGGACACCACGCGAGGTCCAGCTAATCGCCACGGGACCGTACTGTTTGTTGAGCGAAGCCACCTGAATATCAGAGCTAGACCGACACGACCTGCACGCCTCTCTACCTACTTCCAGTCGGCGTTGACTGACTCAACTCACGAACGCAACAGGTGCGTCGCAACAGCCATCAGTCCCATTCTTTCGCGATGCTGACGATACCCAGGTCGATTACCAACGTGGATATATATTCCAACACGTCCTCGCCGGTAACAGGTATAAGGCGATCATCTGGTCCTCGTGAGCGTTTCGCAAACGCCTGGACACCAGTCTCTTCTTCTCGTTACCGCCGCCACCAAACTTCTCTTTACCCAAAGTCAATCTTTGTTCCACAGCAGCCCGGTCTTCCTATCAACTTGATTTTCGCTCTCTTATCTGTCAGGTACACTGGTACCCGGTCGTGAGCTTCCACGTCTTTGCTTTCGCCATTTCCAGGTGATCGCAAGCCCTCCGGAATGAACATACAGGACTTGCTGAACCCTTCTTGCGGTGATCGCCATGACCATCGCCACCCAGAGTCTCCGACACCATCGTCACACCCGGTAGCGACACTGCCAGCGCTTAGGCGACAAAAGATACCAAAGGATGCTCCAATATTTTCAGAAGGCAACAGAACCGTGGGAATAGTCAACTTCGCCCCTCACGAAGCGGGAAACGACGAAGAATTCCTTGAACAACACCGTAGATTCCAGATCTACCCGTTAGGTGAGATCTCAAGAAAGGGAGTTCGACACATCCCATATAACAGCGATAAGAAAGACTTTCTTGAGAAGACTGGACGCGATGCATTCGAAAGTAAGGTCAGCCTTTTGAGGTTGATAGTAGATGCTGACTTGCGTATAGTGTTCCAGTACACATACAAGCTCCCTGGTGAAGATAAGCCGTATGTCGTCGTCTGGGACTACAACGTCGGCCTCGTCCGTATGACGCCTTTCTTCAAGTCGTGCAAATACTCAAAGGTAAGTACTTGGTTCTACAACATTCGAGTAGGATACTAAGTTTTGCAGACGATACCCGCAAAGGCATTGAGAGAGAATCCCGGGCTCAAGGATATCAGCTATAGTATAACTGGGGGTGCTCTGGTGTGTCAAGGTCAGTCAAGTCAATCCCAGACTGTCCAGACACTCTACTAACATTTTGTAGGATATTGGATACCGTACCAGGCTGCCAGAGCTATAGCTGCAACCTTCTGTTATGACATTCGATGGGCGCTTACTCCTGTCTTCGGTAACGATTTTCCTTCGATTTGCCTGACGCCAGATGATCCCTGTTTCGCAAAGTTTGTCATTGACCCAGCCATCGTACGGTACTGTAGTGAGGAGACCACAAAATTCAGAGAACTTGGATCTGCGTATGAAGTCCATAGGCCGGTCGCCCCGACACAAGTGGAGGCACCAACGTCGCGCTCTGAACAGCCACCGCTCAGCGCCCGAGTTGTCAGGCAACGGCGCGCGCGACCCGCAGATATAGAGAGCGGATATGGAACCGATACAGAGCGGAACGACAGGTATCTCTTTTCTCCTGAGGTATCTCCACGCACTCGCTTCACGCCCATCAATCGGCCACGCTCGCCGTACTCTCCCCGCACAGCAGAGTCTTCGTTTGTGAGCTCACCAGTCAGCATGCGTGCGCCTCCAGGATTGCATACACCGACATCGACTCCATATGAGTACTCTGGCGAGGTCTTTCGGGCAAAGCGGTCGCATTCCAAGGTGGCTTGTTGCGAGCATCCTGCCGATGAAGCTGTCGCTCGCCCTCCAACAGCCGCCACAGTCGACAGTGCACACGGATGCGAGATGTGCGTTGGTGATGATAACCACAGCCACTTCGATATGGACGCGGCAGAGATGTTGCTTTCGCTGCGTACAGCGGACAACGGGATGCCACCATCAAAGCGTACGCGTCGGAGCTCGTGATGTTCGAAACAGTGTATGCCAACTTCCTGCTTTGAGGACGGTGATTACTAAAGCACGGCGGTTGATGTCTTCCCTTTCCGTCTGCTCATGACATTTGCTAGCCTTTCCAGCGTTTCTTGTCGGCACACTCGTTGAGCAACTGCATTTAGTTCAGTTCGTGCATTTCGGTATTAAGAGGGCGCGCCATCGGCGCCTAGGTACGGTCATATGTTATGTCTTCATGTTTATGCGGTCATATACAGTGAATAGAAAAGTGCATTTGCAATCCAATGTCGAGTAGATCAGACAAACAACATGCTCGAGAACATAGATGGTGAGATGGATAGATGAATTCGGTCTCTAAGAACATTTCATTTGTAATCATTGCAATGCCGTTGTATGACTGACCAAAACCTCATTGGGTAAGTTCACTTCGATGCTGCCCGGTTCTTCTCTTTCATCTTTTCCAGTCTCTTGAGGGTGGACGAGATGATTGTGTCCTCAGAAAAGACACATGTGACACTCTCTTGTTTTATCACTGCTGCAGCCCACTTGGAAAAGTTGGGAAGTGCATCCAAGTCCGCTGCAATGGACTTGGGGAGTACACCGTGTCTTGAGAATGCATATATCCGGATAATGAAAGGCGCCGTTAGTGCCTACGAGATCATTAGTGATGCTGCTACTAGCATGAGTCCTGATCATACCTCTGCCAGTGTGAGCTTCTCACTACCGCCGAAGAATGGCTTTGCATCTTTCAGAAGAGGCTCCAGTTCTTTGCTCACGGTTTCAATAAATTCCTGGCTCAGCTTTGCCTTTTCCTCTTCAGAATCTTGCATCAAGATCTTGAACCAATGGCTGCCAGCCTTGGTAGTCCAGGTATCGACAAAAAAATTGATTTTAGCACGGGTCAAGGCAGCTTCTGGGGATCCTGTTGCAGGGAAGAGATGCGAGGGATAGGCGTCAGCCAGGAATGTTGAAACGATGGCTGACTCAGTAACGATCTCTCCATTGAAGTTGATGGCAGGAACAAGACCTCTCTGCATATGGGTCAACTACGCATCGACCTACAAAGCCCAGACATGGACTTACAGGGTTGATTTCCAGATACCAAGGCTCTCTCGGAGTATCCAAATCGATTATAACTTCCTCATACGGCAAACCCAGTTCTTTTAGAACAATGTGAGCTCGGTGAGCATAAGGGCAGCCATGATTTGTGTAGAGCGTGATTTTGGGAGCATTGCCATTAACGTGCGCCATTATGATGGAGTTATCAGGATAGTGTGAACGCGGTTGCAGGGATTGTAGGGTAGTGAAGTGAAAAATACTATTTGAAAACACTTGTGATACTTGACTTCGATAAGTTTGCAGCATCTACTAAATAGCCGCGACCATCAACAAGATATACGTACCCGGAGCTCCCGAAGCTCGGTATGCTGCTTATCAATCAGGTCATATATGGATTGCATCAACATGCAGCAGGATTGTGCGGTGCGGGGCATGTCCGATTTGAGTGGAGCGCCATCGGGTGCCGATTTCTAAGCTCTTTCGTGTTGCCCCGACGTCCTTGTGCTTCAGCACTAATGTGACAACAAAAGCGCCCAATATCCCGCAGTTCGTGCTTTGGCATGTCCAGTCTAAGCATGAGCGGTAAAAAGGGGTATCCAGAACCCTGCAAATAGACTTGGTGGTGAGACATATTGTCTCCGTCCGACAGAGGGGCGCAGCCCTTCGTAGTACACCGGTCGAGATCTCTCGTTCCAAAGGAGAGGAGCTGATAGGCATCGCCACAATGTATCGGGTAGACGCATGCCCTTGTCTGACCACAAGTGCCCGTATTCAACCATAACTCAGGATAATCGTCCATCTACAGCATTTCAACATGGTCGTCGCTTTGCACTGGCTTAACAGATAACACCGTCACCTTCGACTTTCCACTCCATCGCATTGATGTCTGTCTGCTTCTTCTTCGCTCTGCGCTTCTCGTTGCGCAACCGCCTCTTCTCTTCGGCGTCCTTTTCCATCTGTTCCCTATTCATCGCCAGCCTGGTGTCCAAATCTGTGACTTCAAGAACCTTTGCCTCGTCCTGTTTTCGCTTGAGATATCGTAGTCGGTCTCGAACTTCTTGGAGAGTTGCGCGGCGTACTTCGCCGGACTGGCCGGTAGCGATCAAATGTTGCTTGCTGTTGAGATGCTCGACGTACTGAATGTTGTCCCTGGAGGGTTGTTAGCGAAAGCAAGTCAGCCCTCGCTGTAAAAGGGAGACGCACTTGAATGTCAGGTCGCAGGCTCCGCAATATGCACCAGCACCACGTCCTCTCTTGCCAACTGCAGCAGCAGCTGATGTGAGGGTTTGCTTTCCGATCATTTTGCTCCAATCTATACGTTCTGCTCTCGCTTCCGTCTGCTTCAGATCCTCAGGCGTGGACGCTCTCCGTCTATACGACTTGCCAGCCATCTTTGCTTCATATCGCTCCTTCCCCTCCTCACGCTCTTTTGCCTCTCTCTCCTTGGCCTTTTTTGCCATCTCGTCGCGGTCCCATGTTTTCCTGAAATCCGTATCACCGCCCCCCGTCGTTCCGTATGCGCCTGCTTTGCCGCTCATGACGGGCAGTGGTAGAGAGACACGTCCTTTACTCTATTGATGATGGAAAATTCGGTGAATCACTAGGTTCCGGTCGAGCCCCCGTCGTATCTGGATGGCGCGTAGGTGTTTTCACAGGTGAAAGTAAGTCGAGTATTGGTGTGTAGTTACAGGCGCGTAGTTTTCGAAAGTCAAGCTCGCGACTTTCTGGTCCGTGACGCACGGACTTTACTACTGAGCTTTGGGCAGGTATGCATCATCGCCATCACCACGTATTACAATCGATAATACATATGTATAGAAAAGACAAAATCCATGTACATTGATTGATATTTCAAGATATTTCATCTCGTTCTAGCTCTGAATATTTACTACGTGTCATCATGATCACGATTGAATAGAAGGAAAATCGGAAAAAAGTACTCCTCGCTATGCTCCGATTTCCTGTTAGTGTCTTAGTAGTAGACACATCTAGCCATAAGCCAATTTCATGCCACCATATGATAGCGAAGCGAAACTTATGGACACACATGACATTTCTGTCACATGCTTTCCATGATTGCTGAATACTGAAAGTGTGCCTGTGAGATGATCGCAAGCGCGATTGTGTCGGGCCATAAGGAATTCCCGCAACCCTAGTACGGGTATGGACCAGCTCCACGAGGAAATCCTACGTGTTGGCCTGGTGCTGGCGGCGGTGGCGGTACGGGTACTGGAGGCGGTCCGCGGGCTACTCTGCCGACTGCCATGTGTCCATGAGACACTGAGCTATCTCTGTCCTGTCGTCTTTTTTTCTTCTTCTCTTTGACACCATAGCCTATGTCAGTGTAACCTGCAGCGGCAAAAGGCGGCTCAACGACCTCTCGGGAATGATCATCCGGCAGCCTGAGGTCAACAAGGCTGTAGAAGTAATCCAAGACTTCCGGGTAGCGAAGAACCGATGCTCGCCAATCGGCGTCGATGCCACGCTTGAGCTCAGCATGGGCTTCTGCGATTTGTGTCTGAAGCGTCGCCACGTACATGGGGTGTATTGGCGGATGACCGGAATATCGCATGTAGACTTCGTAGTGTGGGAGCGAGGCAAGGTATGCTGAATGGGCTTGCTTGCGAGTTGACGTCAATCGCTCAAAAGCATTCAAGATATGCTGACGCGCGTGGTTAATCACCCAGTCTCTACAGCTCAAGTCAGCATTCGTTTTGGGAGGATGATAGAATGTGTAGTACCTTATTTCAGCCAGCCTCTCATCCATGGCACGCTGCTCGGCCTGCTTGACTGCAATTTGCAGGCGCTCCGACTCGCAGGAGCATTCGGGATAGGGCGGCGCATTGCAGATGGCACAGTTGGGAGCTGCATCCATGTCATACGGGGGAAGTGGGTGAGCCAGCGTTGATCATTGTCGGTCCAGAGTGGGCCGAACACAATTCCAGTGTGGTTTTAGTGATTGATGGGGATTCACGGGATGAGGATTTGATCTGGAGTGAGGTCGGTTTTAAGACAGTCTGGAAGCGGACAGGCGCTAGGGTAGTCAGGCACAGGGCGGTGACGACGGACAAGTAACATGTTACATGACGATCTTTGTGGAGGCCATCGGCGTGATCTGGCTAGTTTCGTACGGCTTATGGAGTGACGGATGGATTGGGCAGACTTGGGATGCGTTATGAGTTGGCAGAATCGCTAGGATCGGCTCAACCAGTATTAGCTCCGGGGGATGCCAAGACTAATTGCTTCTAGATAGTAGTGTAGTGTAGCATCGATCGAAGGCTACGGATATGGCGATGTTGAACTTGGCCGTCTAATGGTAGCGGAGAGCCGTGTCGGATGGGGGTGTGGGATGTTGTAGTTGTTGATGCCCTCGACCAACCTACCCCGCCTTTGCCCTTGACCCTCGACCTTGCCCGGACCCCACCACCGTGGTATTAATGTCCGACCGAGTAAGACGACAGGGATGTGGCCTTCTCAGTCTTCTTGTCCTACAGTACACAGACCCTTCTGACTGTTGGAATGCTCCCACACAACAGAACAGCCCAATGATGTCAGGATCCACGAAAAAAGAAACAATCCAGACTCTGGATGCACATGCACACGCACACGCACACCCAAACGTTGGCTCCAAGCAGCTGCGCAACACACATGTGCTGTCGACACGGCCGTCTCCTAGCCTTGCGATGGTGTCGACCGATGTGAGTGGCATGTGACATGTGACCCTCGAGCTTTTGTTCACTTGTCCCGTCCGCGGATTGCTGTTCTTGGCCGAGCGCCCTATATCCCAAGGCCCATCTGCAAGCGTTTTCCTTTGGGCTCTCTTGTGGAGAGAGCCCTACCACTAGGTGTGCGTGTAGTATCTAGTACTATGTCCTCGGTAGTAGTGTTGGCTTGAGATACGTAAAGAAGGTCTCTTGCACGTGACAGAGAGCCACGCACTGACACCGCTCTTTGTTCGCTGTTCCAACCACGCTCGCATTCGCCGCACTCGCCGCACTCGTCGCAAATCAGAAGCCGACCTCTCCGATGGACGGCGTCAACCTGACGCAACTGACCGTTCGATGTGAGGCTTGCAGGCGTGCTGGCCTGTCTCCTTATATACTGCCACTATCACTGGCGGATGCGCATCATCATGCCGTCCACAACGCATATCCGGTAGTTTCCCCATTTGCATTGTGAGTCTGGCTGGTCCCGAACCGCCTATCGTCGTCTAGATCCATCTCTTCCAATCGCCGACCGCCGCTGGCGTAGTGGACCAAGCCCACTGTGGTTTTGCAGCACACGAGGGCTGAAGTGGAGTTTGTCAGCTCACCTCGTTGAGGTTCAATAGCCTGCTATGCTTCGGATACTCCGAGTCGTGATTTTGGATAGTCGCAACGTCTTTGAGTCAAACAAGCGTCCCATAACACCCATGTGTCGGGAACAACAAGCCCCAGAGAGGGCCCCTCGGACTAGCAACGACTTTTATCGCATTGCCAAAAAACGTTCTTTTGTAGAACTGGGACGTACAAAGTGACGTATGCAAAGCCAAGTGACTGCCTGGTGCTGCTTGTACGCATGACTCAGCAGTATTATCGTGGTGTTTTCTGGCTAATAATCCGGGTGATCCTGCGCGCCGCACAGACTGCGCCCTTCGAACTCGACATTCTACCGCATTAGGCTTAGTGCATGTAGAAAGAGTCTCCTCCCCCGTCTTCGGCATGGCCCCAGAATGAGTCCAAGCCGCGGTCCTACTTAGCATCCATCATCCCGCAAAACGACAACTCACGCCTTATTGTTGAATTCGTCCAGAGGGCGTGCATTTGTTCTTTGATTCATCGCAGGCCATTGGACAACGGCCAAGATAACCCACTGCTTGATTGCAAATCTAGGCCCGCCATCATGGCTACCCACGATGCAGCCTTCGATATGGCAGACTTTGTCGATTTCGGCGACACAAGCATACCCGGCGTATCACAAGGGACAGACCTCAACATAACGGAGCCAGTATTGGACCAAAGGTGCGTGGTATACCCATTATCCCTTAGTCACTCACCCCGGCTCGACATCCATGTAAATGCGAACTTGCGTTCAAGAGGTCCACCATCTACGATCAACTTTCTTTTTCTTTAGGTTCTAATATCAACCAGTCCCCTACTAGGGCATGATGCCTCCGGAGGGCTCGTGCAATCTGCCGATGCTCAAAGTACCGACATCGACTTCAACACTGACTTTAGTACTTGGCTGCCAACATACCAAAAGTCCGTCCAGCCATGTGAATACTGCAGATCAATGTCCCTCGAATGTTTCATCTACAACGTCGACGGTACCAAGCAGCTAGGTTGCTCTCCATGCAACGCCCTGTTCCGGCCATGCAGCTTCAGCAATCCGGAAAGGATGCCAGCAATGAAGCAGAGAACGGCACTCGACACGTTAGATGTCGTGGCTGAAAATGACACGCGATGCTTCGGTGGACTCACCGGAAGGAAGCAGATGCGATCGTTGGGTCATGTTGGTCCCATAACGGATGACAACAACGGAGAGCAGTGCCCCAAGAGTGCTGCTGTATCAGCACGCTTCCCCAGAGCTGCTGTCAGCATCCTGAAAAATTGGATGCTGATGCACATCGATCATCCCTATCCAACAGAAGAAGACAAGGAGATGTTGAAACAGCAAACTGGCTTGTCCATGGGCCAGATCTCCAATTGGATGGCCAATACGCGGCGAAGGCAGAAGGCACGACCCAAGCGAAGTGCATCGCCGAGCATCCGACCATCAACAAAGGTCATCAACATTCCCGCAGGTAAAACCTGGGAAAGCATGGGTACGTACACCAAATCTGAGTTTAGTCGATCGCACAAGACTGTGGCGCCCAAGACTGACGGAAGATTCATCGTCTTTCGTGCGGATCAAGGGCGCACAAACTCAGATACTGGCACCTCATCTCAGATGCCAGTGTTACAGCAACAGGAATGTTTCGGTTAACTCTCGACAGGTCCGTTCGAACGATGGAAGCACTCTCCTCCTGAAAACGAACCTGCACCTCTCAACGCCATTGCTCACGCTGTTGAGACGTTTGATCCCCCGCAGTCCGCCAGCCAGAGCAGCAGCTACCGCAAAGATGCTTCTAATGACAGCACTGGGAGCTTCTCGGTGTTCAAGGCCCCTTCCATCTCTTCGCTAGAGACTGGCCTCACCAAGATGTCCTCCGGTTCTCGGGGATCCCGGGACTCTGCCTACTCGTACGGATCCCGACACTCGCTCGGCTCTTTGAACAGTCTCAAGTCAAAAGAAAGGCGAAGGCGCCGACGAATTCCTACTCGAGTGTCAAAGCCTAGTCCCGATGAAGGACAAAGAATGTTTCAATGCACATTCTGCACTGATACTTTCAAATCCAAGTACGACTGGTATGTAATTCTCTACCATAGCTGCTGCAAATGTTTGATTGCACCGAATGGACAGGATAATACTGACGTTTTGAAGGTCTCGCCACGAGAAGAGCCTTCACTTGTCTCTTGAAAAGTGGCTATGCGCACCCCTTGGCGAGATCGTTGCCGATAAGGTTACCGGAAAATCCAAATGTGTCTACTGCGATGAGTTGGATCCTAGCAAAGAACACCTGGCGACACACAACCACACTGCTTGTTTCGAAAAAGGCCCCGAGTCTAGAACCTTTTATCGGAAAGATCATCTTCGACAACACCTGCGACTTATGCATGGCTGCAAGATGACTGCCAGCATGGACACTTGGAAGTCTGAAGCACAATACATCAAATCCCGTTGTGGGTTTTGCGGCATGAGCTTTGACAAGTGGCAGGACCGTGTCGACCACCTTGCAAAGGAGTTTCGTAATGGAGCCAGTATGAAGAATTGGAAGGGCTGTCGTGGTCTAGATCCCCATGTAGCCATACACGTGACCAACGCGATGCCGCCATATCTCATTGCTAATGAGAGAAAGTCACCTTTCCCATTCTCGGCAAGCAACTCTTCAAGTCTGCAGGTACGTACGACTGTATTGAATACGCGAGGCCAATCCGAGGTTGGAAAGCATAATGGTATTCTGCAGAGTTCTCTGACTGACTGATAAACAGCAAATCAATCTGTCACTTGAGACGCGAGACTTGGAGTACCTGCTCCCCAACAACTATGACCTATCCATTGCCTACCAAGACGGCAAAGATGCTTCGTCGGTTGGGCCAATCATTCTGACCACACCCGAGGACTTCCCAGAGCCGGGACAAACGGATCATAATCCTAATGCAACATGCTGGGAGATTCTGACTCTACGACTTGGACGCTTTGCGAGACGGCATATTAAGGAGCACGGTGCTGGGTCTGTGACCGATGAGATGCTGCAAGTTGAATCACGCCGTATTCTCTATGGTGATGACGATCCCTGGAATCAAACTTCTGCAGACAACCCCGAATGGCTCAATTTATTCAAGAAAGCACACGGCATCGACTCCAAAGCCCCAGTAAAAGGCATTACTACAGAGCACGATGTTTACGAGGATCTAGGCATCAACTCCGGCGCCACTGTTGACTCTAGCTTCGACGTGAATAACTTCACTTGCGCAAACCTGCCTGAGAACGATCCGCTGCGGGCACTCTCTTTCGAGTGTTCGCTTTCAGGCTCGTTGGGACATATCAAAGGACACGTGCGACAGCTCTCATCTGGCCGTCAAACACCGTACAGCGTACCGGGGCTGAGCAGGTCACCCACATCGCCCGCTTCCTTTGCGCCAGCAACAACTACAGCAGCATCCAACGATGACGCACTCATGGGTGTATACGCACCCATTTCAGAGCTTGCATGTCCCTCCAACGGCACCAAGGGACCTTGCTTTGGCGAGCACGGCGAACTAGGCTTCTCCATCACCAACCCCGGATCCCCTAAACGACGATACTGGATGGATGAAGCAACCACCCAAATCTCGCCATTGACTTCTCCTCTCGACCACCAACAGCAACCCATGTACGAGGGAACCGCTGCTTTCAGCAATCCTGGTGCCACCACAACCACTACCACCGCCGATGACTTCCAATTCCCCTCGTGGGACCAACTCCCAGAGCATCTGCAGAACCCAACTAGCAGCGCTGAATACAATCTTGCGGGCGTAAGCACGTCTACTACTGAAAATGTCTTGGCGATGCCATGGGACGATACCATGGATTTTGCCATGGACATGGATACGGATATGGATTTGAATTTGATCTGAGTTTGGGTTTTTTGATGGGATGAGACGAGAGGGAAGAAAAGTGTGGGATTTACTTGTTTTCTTGGTATTTGGGAAATCTACGAGGATCAGAAAACCGAGGGTCATTCATGATTACGTTCCTTCTTTTTTTTTTTTTTACCGTTGTGGGGTTTAATAGGGGGTTAATGTGAAGGCGTTGGATGGTATCTGTCTTTTTTTTTCCCTTCTCGTTGATTGCTGAGTCATGATATACCATCCTTATACATTATTTTTCCTTCATAAACACACTCTCTCTGATGTGACAAGTAGAAATGACGAAGAAATTTTTTTTTCTCTCTTTTCATAACTTTGACAATGACTTTATACCGGTTCGCCCGTAAATGGCAAAAAAAAAAACATGTAGTTAATCACCAAGGATGACCATGTCAGAATCTTGCATTTCAATTCTTGATATGTACGAATCATACCCTCTCATACTACCACCTCCACTTGGAAGGGGTTTCCACTTTTTTTTTAAATTATCGTTCAGACTAAAAATCATAACTGATCCACACTAAGCTTCTGCACAATAATACCGGACGCAGCACCACCACCATTGCAAATAACCGCCGCACCGTACTGGCCATCCTTGAGCTGATGCAGCAGGGTAACCAATATCCTGCTTCCAGAGCTACCAAGTGCGTGACCAAGCGCAATAGCACCACCGCGGGGATTAACATTTTCAGTACCGAGACCGAGGATCTTTGCGTTTGCCTTGATGACGGCGGCGAAAGCCTCGTTGAATTCCCAGATGGCAATGTCGGACTTTGAGAGGCCGGATTGGGCGAGGAGTTTGTCGACGCAGGCGGCGGGGGCGACGGGGAAGTCGATGGGGTCTAAGTTTTGGAGTTGTTAGTAATGTGCTTTTGTTGTGAAGATAGACAGAACGTACCCAGAGCAGCGTCAGCGTAGGTGACGATCTTGGCTAGTACACGGCTGTCCTTGCCGTACTTTTGTGCAATGTCTTTGCTGCCGAGGACCAGGGCTGATGCGCCGTCGCTGAGGGGCGAGCTGTTGGCCGCTGTGACGGATCCGTTTGGTCCCTTTTCGAAAGCTGGCTTCAGCGTTGCAACCTTGTCTAGCTTGAGCTTGTTGTATTGTTCATCCTCTGAGACGACGGTCTCGCCCTTCCTTGTCTTGACGGTAACTGGTACAATCTCATCCTTGAAGAGACCATCCTTGTACGCCTGTTGTGCGCGCTTGTATGTCTCAATAGCGTAGTCGTCCTGATCTTGCCTTGAGACCTCGTACTTCTTGGCCGTGTTCTCTGCGCAGTTGCCCATGTGGATCTGGTTGTAGACATCCCATAGACCATCGGAGATGAGACCGTCCTCCAACTTCTGGTGTCCGAATGCTGGCTGCTGGCTTGCTCGGCTCAGGTAGTATGGGACTCTTGTCATGTTTTCCATTCCTCCCGCGACCTGGGCTTCCGCCTGTCCGAGCTCAATGGTAGAGGCGGCAATGCTGACAGCCTTGAGACCTGAGGCGCATACCTTGTTGATGGTGGTGGCTTCGATGTTTGTAGGAAGACCGGCAAAGATGGCTGCTTGTCGTGCGGGTGCCTGTCCAACGCCACCTCCAAGCACGTTGCCCATGTAAACAGCATCGATAGACGATACCGGGACCTTTGATTTCTCCAGGGCGGACTTGATGGCCGTGGCGCCTAGTTGCGGGGCCGAAACCGTTGTAAAGTTGCCATTGAACTAGCAAATACTCAGCATACAGAATCAATTGATGCTTATCTTGTACTGACCACTGCGGTCGGTGTCCTGCTGGCACTCAGAATGTATGCATCCCGAATCTCTTTCCTTTGTGGCGTGGAGCTGCTGAACTGTCTTTGAATGCTAGCCAGTCGTTGTTGCGGCCGCGAAGCCATCTTGAAAGAATTGCGAAGGACAGCGGAAGACATGGTGACGGCGATTCCTGGAGAAGTTTGCAAGAGTTCAGAATGCGGAGAAAAAGACTCTAACGAGTCGATGCGTGGCTATCACATGGCAACAAGAGTTAGACTGGTGTGACAAATGCGGGCGGAATGTGGAGGAATGACGCGCTACAGCGGCTAGGCCGAGGTTCGGCAGTGCACGGCACTACCCGGCTTAAGCTGTTCCGCTGAACCATTTTTTTTTAATCATTTGATATCACTCTGGAGAAATAAAGGTTGTTCAGTGATATTGGTCTAGAAATACAAGTGACATTGAATCATCTCTCTAATAGTCATAACTTCTGAAAATCTCATAACTCAAGCCAGTGCACCCATGGGGTCCCAGAGCTCTAGCATCTTTGGCTGCTGCTCCAATACCTTCCTGATCGACGAGCTAACCACACTCGGATCTACAACGGCCTGGTATACAAATTCGTCCATCCAAGAATCGCTCATAACAAAGTACCCCTTGTCGCCCACACGGTCACTCCACGAATTTTCTACCCTCCAGCGCACTGGCTTGCCGTCAACCACATGCACAGCAGTCAGCACCATGGCGTGCGTCATTTGACTTTCTCCAGTCTGTAGACGCTCGGCTTTTGTCATACCGAGCCTGACATTGAAGCCGAGCTCGTAGTCGAATAGCTGGGTATCCATGATACCCTTGGTCGAATCCGAGTATTTGCCTACGTCGGAGCCAAAGAAAACAGGCATGCCGCGTTTCAGCATGGCAATGCAAGCTTCTTTGATCGTCTTCATGTCGACGTTGACGTAGGTTACTGGTCGGCCGTTCCAGACATTACCCAGGCGCTTGACACTGAGCAGGCGGTTGTAGGGGTTTCGGGGGTCGTTGACCAAAGAAAAGAGGGTGTGCACATCAGTTCCAGACAATGCGCGGACTACCCTGTGATCGGAAAGTTCCTTGGCAAACTCAACTGGTCGGCTAACGACGGTGTTGAGTTTGCCATCCTTGTCATAGTACTCCCACGTGAAAGGCTTGGTGGCAGATGGTGGGGGACCGAGCATCAGCGTCAGGATGAGATGAATCTCACGGAGCATCTTTTCCTTTTCGCTAGCCAGGGTTGCTTTGACGGCTTCGGGAGACCAGTTGCTCGAGGCAATGGTACGCAGCCGGATTGCATCCTCGCGCAGCTTTGTGGTGATGAGGCGGTCCATGATGGAAGAGTTGGAGGCATTGAACGAGTCTGGGTAGATTGACTGGGGCACGAGACCGTACTTTTGTACAAGGTTTGCAACCATGTCCCATTGACCGCCATCGCCGACAGGGCTGGACATGAGGGCCTGCACTATGCGACTGTCGATATCCTCGTTCTTGGTCTCGAGTATGCTCTCGAGGAAGTAGTTTGCCTTTTCAATCTTGTCCCAGTAGAAGAGGTAGGCTTGTGACAGTTGGAACTCGGAGAGCTTGTACCGCTTCATGATGGCGATGCGGAAGACATTGGTGGATGCAAACAGCCAGCATCGTCCGGAAGAGGCTTGGTTAGTGATGGGAGAGCCCTCGAAGGGTATCTTGATGTTGAACTTGTGTGTATCTTCGATGGTGGCTGCGCGAGAGGAGAGGACGGCATTGGCGGAGTTTGAGCTGAGGGCTGCCAGAGCGAGGCGGTTCTATCAGAAGGAGGTCAGCCGATGCAGGGAACAAGAAGAATGAGCGAGTGTGTGTGTAGTGTACCTTTGGGTCAGCCATGAGCTCCTTCTCCCACTCTTGAACGGACTTGATGGAGACATTTTGCTGGTACTTGACGACGGGTGTGTACTGGGGAGCTGGAGCACATGGTCAGCATGGAAAGAAGGAAGGTGTCGGGGGAAAGATATGGGATCAAGAACATACGGGCCTCTCCATCGCCTTGGACCACAACATACTCCTCCTTCTCCTTCAAGTACTGAGCATACTTATCATGGTTCATGTTGAGCGCGTGCAGACGTTCGAGGAGCTCGTCGTTGACTGCGGCTTCAGACTGCTTGGACTGGTCGGCACCCATAGCGGATACTGGCGCGGACGGTGTGGGGTCTACTAAATATCTATCAGAAGGCTACGGTGTCGGGAGGTGTTGCGTTAGTGTGGGAGAGGCGCTCCCGTCCGCGTCGCCGTGGGTGTGGTCGTGGCAAGCCATCATGGTGTCGGTATCTTATCGGGCTTATCGGGGGGCAGCGCGTGCAAGGGGCGCGTGGCAGGTCGACCGTATCAGATGGTCTGAGTGGAACGCGAAGCCTTCCGTATTGGGCGTGGCCGCGTTGCGACATGGAGGTTGAGAGCACGTCGGCCGTCTAATCCTCGCCAGCACCACCACAGAGGGTGGTTGAGATGCAGTCTCTCGCTGCCATTAGCACGCCTCTTGGGGCGGGCCAAGCACATGCAGGGCAGCACGAGTCACCGCTCAACAGACGACGACTACTTTTACTCCCTGGCCCCCTGCCCCCATCCATGTCTGCCCTCATCTACAAATCCCCGCCGATTGCGCTTGCCACCCCAACGCCATCGGCACGAGACCCTGAGCTCGGCAACGGCCAACGCCCTAGTTTCAGTTTCATCTTGCCCGTCAGTCCAACCGCCATTGCTTGACATGTCCATCTTGACTCTTGTCACTGGCCGGGCTCCTCCTCCACTCCACACCACACCACACATACACATACGTTCAAGTACACACATATCCACACACCGCCCCATGAACCATGGCCGCGCATCGCTCGCACCCAACATGCGCGGCTCGTAATAGAGGAGATGAAGATAAGCAGGGCCGAACGCGTGTTTCATCACCGCGCGCAGTGCCTTCCCCTGGATTCAGGCCTGCTAATTCAGCCGCGGCGTGAAATTTGGCGACACTGGACCTTTGTGCGGTCAGCCTTGGTGCCGTTATATGTCTTCTCTTCTGCCTCATTCTGCAATTGACTGTGACCGCAACTAATACCCTCTTCAACCTCCCCATTCTGGATCCCCCGCCCTACGCAACATGGAGCAAGGACAAGGCCTCTGGAAGAAGCGCATCCTCGTGCCCTTCTGGATTGTGCGAATATGTCTCATGATATTCATCATCGCCATATTCGCCTACACCCTACGCACGCTGAAAGATCTCAAGGACTTTACTGAGCCAGGACCTGGGTACGCCTATGCAGTTGCTCATGCGCACGCTCGTAGACTAACAGCAAGCAGCACTGTCGTCCTCTTCATTCTCTTCATGGTCATTGTGCTGTTGATTGATGTGCTCGCCATCCTTCTCTTCCTTCGGGATAAGCTTAAGCCGGGCACCTTCCTAACCATGAACTGTTTCCAGACTGGCTTCTGGGCCGGAGTTCTGATTGTCGACTTTGTAGCAATTGGCCATGGCGCAAGCCCCGTCGGAATCGGCTTCAGCGTCTTTGTCTTGTACGTCTGAGCTGGTAACATGGCAATTCGCTGTGCTGACTCGTTGTAGCCTCACGTTCCTTGGTCTCCTCATCTACTCAGTCATCGGCCACCGTCGCGCAAAAGCCGCAGCCCAGCGAGGCCACTATGCGCCCGCCCACAACCCAGCCATGCCTGCTACCGACTTGCACGGCACTCCCTACTTTGGCGCGCCCGATAACCATCAAAATACCGCATACCATTCGCAGACACACCCACCCGCAGATGCGCACGATCAATATGCTGCTGCTCCTCCATACCAGGCCGGTGCTGCAGGCGACTATTACCACCAGCAGCCCATGAAGCCTGCTCACATTGTTTGAGAGAGTCCTGCAAATCCACAACGACCAAGTTGTTTCGGCGAATCGGCGCAATTACATATAAATAGGGCGGTGTAGTCTATGCCGAGATGCCAGTAGCTTGTGCGAGGAGGTAACGCGAGCGAATCACGATGACTGGAAATCCACTATCTCTATATACTGTCTGGCCATGTCGTGCGATTCTTGACTGGTGCGACGAGACGATTCCGGCGGGCGATGGTGGCAGGGCAAACAAGCTCGTGGCTCGTGCGTGGCATGTCCTGGGTTTCTGAGACGCGTACAACTTACTCGCGTTTTTTTCTTCCGCCTACGCCACGGAGTGGTATGATATGCATTTTTGCGTGCTATAAGCCTGGGCTTGGGCATAAGGTACAAAGTTCAAGGGCCTTGGCTCCTTCTGCTTCGCCTCAAATTTTGTGGGGAGCGGCCCGTCAGATCCATGCGCAACCGGCGGGAGATGATCAGATGTGGCAGGAGTAAAAGATCAGGCCTCGCGGAGGACGTAATGTATAGTTGAAAGAAAATCATTCCAATACCCGACGTGGTGGTACGAGTGAAGTAGAGCGTGAATAAAGTGTCGGTATCAACACACGTGCAAGTCGCAGGCGGGTGTAGTTACCGATTCAAGTGACTGGCGCCGAGACGCTACGACTAGTCCAGAGGCGACGCTGCTTGGAAATGTTTCCAGCTCGGAGGTCAACACCCACTCACAGCACGAAAGCCGTTCTCTCCACCATGTCGCAGCCTTGTTCATTTATGCCCCGAGCAATCACATTGCTTCTCCCGGCACGTTGCCATGAGCCTGTGCCTGTCCTGGGCTGTGTTCCCAAGCCGTGTTTACTTTTAGTCCGCATGATGGCCTTGAGTCGTTAGTGGCTGATCATTGAATGCGACGTTATACCCCATGGGATAAATCGTGATAGGGATACTATATATCTGTAAGTAGTCCTCGAGCTACGGCTGTTTGCCTCCAGCACGCTCTTTTGTCTTGCCACTCTCCCGACCTCCTTGGCCCGGTGACGCTCGCTCTGCTCCACTCATTCGTTCTATCCACCAAGATGCGCTCGTTTTTCTTGCTCGCCGCCGCTACGGCGCCACTCGCCCAAGCAGTACGCATCGTCCAGTCCAACGACGACGGCTGGTCAGAAATTAACCTCCGCACCTTTTTCGATGTCTTGAACTCGGCAGGCCATCAGGTGGTGCTCTCCGGACCGGCTGAGAACCAGTCGGGTACAGGTGTGTAGCTGCAAATATATACACAACCATCAACCCATGTATACTGACCTTTCAAGGGTCGTCCGACAAGGCGCCGACAACTGTCGACAGCGATGGCTGCATCCACGCCTCTTGCCCAGGCGGGAGCCCCCCAACTGGCGCAAACGCAACAGATCCTCGCCTAAATTACGTCAACTCGTTTCCCGTCACATCCATCAAGCAGGGCATCGACGTTACCGCGCCTGCCCTGTGGAACGGGGCCAAACCTGAGCTTGCCCTAACCGGACCGAATGTCGGTAGCAATGTTGCTGTCCAACTTCCCTTCTCTGGAACCGTTGGAGCCGCCGTCTACGCAGTCAAGACGGCCCAGATCCCAGCAATCGCCTTCTCAGGCAAGAGTGGCGAGCCTACTGCATGGAACGCCCCCACGCCTCTCTACAGCAAAGTCTACGCCGACCTCGCTCTTAACGTAACCAGCACCATCATCAAAAGTGGCAAGCCGTACCTGCCCGCAAACACGTTCCTGAACGTCAACTTTCCCGAAGTTTCCGACTCCCGATGCAGCGACCCCAGCCAGTTCAAGTTCATCTTTACTCGCGTCAACACTGGCGTCTTTAGCTCCCGCGATGCAGAATGGTGCGGTAGCACGCGCCTGCCCTGGGAGGCTGATGTCATTCTGCTCAGGGGCAGGGACTGCTATGTTACCATCAGCCCTGGTGATGCAAACGACAAGTCGACTGTGAATGATGCTGCTGTCCAGACTCAGATTATCAACAAGCTCAAGCCTATCTTGTCATGCTTGCCTTGAGAGAATCGCTGATGGCTATGGGCTAATAGGAAGTGTACGCAACATTATGACATGTAATATTTTTGTGATACCTTTTTCTCAATTTTGAAATATATTTTGATCAACGAGGGAATACATAAAATATGGGGAAATGTGCGAATATAAAGATTGAACTCCGTACTTTTCTATGCAGATAAAGTACATAAATACCAAAATCATAGACAAAAATCGAAAATAACCCCCTGCCGTCCCATATTCAAACTGTCGCCTTTACACTTGACTTAAGTCTCTGCGACCTTTTTCCCTATGTTGTGGCCATTTAACCTCTTCTTCTTTTTGTACGCGACACATTCTTGACATGTTTGTTGTTCCTTTTAGCAATGCCGAGCTGGAGATCCTGGGACCCACAGGTTTACACCATAGTACCACGTATACCGAGCTAGTGTCCTTAGCCCCACTTCAGCAACATTATGGTCTCTCTGTTGTAGAAAGAAGCGAAATATATTTTCTGCTCAACTCCCGGCTACTAAAGAGAAACTATAAAAGATGTCAGATCGAATAATTTCAAATTCTTAGGCACCTCATGAGTCTACCGTCGATTCGAGTCACTACTCTAGCTTGCATGGCCCCCAGTCACAAAACAACAAATTGAGCACCCCACCCCCCACCATACCGGCTGCGTTTCCACTGTTTCCCCTCTAAATCGAAACGGAGGATTTGGATTGGCAAGAATAGGTTCTACGAGGGGTGTCTGGACAGCGTGCACAGACCTGCGACGTCATTAACCTTTGGTGTCATACAGATGAGTCGTATCTCTATATGACTACTCAGGATTTAGCTGCCATATAATATAACCGCAAGTTTCTTATTCTCTTTCATTTACAAGTACAGCGTAGACTAATTCTTTGCTAGAGCTTCAGTTGCTCCAAAACAATACCACATATTCGTTCTTCATACCCAGCTTTCATAATTCTTGTAGGATTAGTGCATACATACAATCACCACCAAGCGCATTCTCTAGAGCAGCCCCCCAAATTCCGGGCATCAACACCAATCAAACTCTGTATCATCCCATAAAACAACTCCAACAAAAAAAACACATAATACAAAACTCCCCTCCCAATGGATCCTCCACCATCCTCCGATGCATCTCAACCCCCCTCCCTCGCATCCCGAATGCGCACTTACGAAGCATCCACCGACCACATCCTCCCCACCAACCAACCCATCATTCTCCGTCTCGACGGCCACGGCTTCTCACGCTTCACCTCTCGCTTCTCACGCCCCTTCGACCCACGCATCCACACCGCCATGACCCGCACCAGCAGCGACCTCCTCCACTTCTTCCCGCAAGCCACCCTCGCCTACACGCAATCCGACGAAATCACCCTCGTCTTCCCCTCCGGCGTGCAAACCTTCAACGAGCGCCTGCAGAAACTCTGCAGTCTAGCCGCGAGTTACTGTTCCGTACGCTTCAACCGCCACCTCGAGCTTGCGTTACGTGAGATGCCCGATCCACCCGTCAAGGGCGACACGGAGCTTGTCTTTGGCACGGCGCATTTCGACGCGAGATTCTTCCCCGTGCCGTCTGTGCACGAGGCCCTGAATAATCTCATCTGGCGCTGTCGGAATGATGCGGTGAGGAATGCCGTGTCGTCGTTTGCACGCACATTGTACACGCCGGCTGAGTTGCATGGGAAGAAGACGGGTGAGCTTATTGAGCTCATGTTGAGGGATAAGGGGGTTAGGTATGAGGAGGCCGTGCCGAAATGGGCGATTGAGGGCTGTTTGGTTAAGCGCGAGCAGTACGAGCATCAGGGTGTGAATGCGAAGACGGGCGAGGTGGAGAAGACATTTCGGACGAGACCTAGGGTTGAGGAGAGAGGCGTGAGGGTCTTTGACGAGGCGGGTCTCAAGTTAATCACGGACAAGTATTGGTAGTTGTTGTAGGTTAGGGTTGCGACAAGTAGCATCAACCATGAGAGTAAAATAAACAAATCAAAAAATACAGTAGTATATCCGTGATTTGTTTGATGAGTCTTTACCAAGTCTGAAAAAAAAATAAAATATATCAAAAGCATAGTAGATCACCCCTACCTCAGAGTACAAAAGATAAGCAAAAAAGAAAGGATGGGGCCTGACCGGGATTCGACTGTAACGCTGTTAGATACTTGCGTTCGCTGTGCGAATCTGAATGGGTGAACTTACACCCGGGGCCTCCTGCAGAATAGGCTTGATAAACAGACGTGAATCTGAATCTTCCCAAAGCAGGAATCATACCACTAGACCATCAGGCCGGAGTTATGAGACTCTTGGAATTGATGGAAAGGATCCCGTATTTTTGATATATGAATCGAGTAAAAACGGGGAGTGAGAAGCGCTTGAAGAGTCATCGGATGGGACAGTGGGGTAGTGTGGTGAGAGGGGGTAGGTAAGCGAGGGGGAGTGTGTGCCTGTTACCCCGCCATGTGTCATCCTTTGTTGAATACGAGTTGTGGAGTAGCATAACGATCTACTTGGTGTTTTCGACCAATAACTATCACTATCAACCGACTCACTTGGCTATCAATAATTCGTCGAACATATACCGTAGAAATTAAGAATAATATAATTGAAACTGATATCTCGCGACAAAAACTCCAACCTCATGCTTCCCATCGTGTAACCATGTATTCGTTAGAGCAAACAAAGAAGCAATGCTGCGTTTCCATCTCATCCCCACCTCGCGTACAAAATCAGCTCTACGTCAAGTCCAAGACTTCTACCGCGCTTTCTCTCCACTTGCGTCTGTCTTTGCCTTTGAGCAAGGGCCCCGGTGTCTGCTCTGCCAGCTTCTCTGGGCTGTCAACATCGACGTAGTCCCAGGCACCTACGACACTCTTTCTAAGAATGATAGCCCGTTTCTTCTTGCTCTGGGCTTTCCATGCTGCGGGCGGTGATACCGACTTTTCTTCGCTTGGTGACCGTGATGAACGCGTTGGAGGTGATGTCCGTGTTGCAGCCGTTGGTTGTGGCGCCGGATCACACCCCCCTACGGGTGACGAGTGTTCTGTCAGATCAAGCACATCCGCTTGTGGCGATGTCGACCGTGATTTTGCTGCAGCAGGACGAGGGGACGTGAGGTCTATAGTATCAACACTGGAGGGCGCTGATGTCGTTTTGCTGAGACGTGGCGAAGTACGGCGAGGCGGGTTGGAGCGGAAAACATCTTTAATGCTTTTCTTCTTCCCTACAGTGGAGACTGATGAGGTCGAGCTCGCAGACGTGTTTGATGATATTGACGTCAATGGCGGCCGTGTTGTCGATGATACTACAGGACTCTGCTCACTAGTAACCTCTTTTTGAGAACGTCGTGTGGCTTCTGGGCGCTTTGGTGGGGAGAGCGTCAAGTCCAGTGATTCCACATCTTCCGATGGCTTACGGAATTGTGGTGGCGCAGGGACTGGTGCTGCACCAAACAAAGGAGTTATACCTCGCTGTTTGGTTGGTGTTGCCGATGCTCGCCATGCATCTAAGGTAGTCTGTTTTGGTACAGACGAGTCCCGAGATGCTCTGGTTGCAGCCGTCTCTTCCAATGTTCTTGTCCTGACCTTCTTTGCTGGTAGCTGCAAAGGTGAAGGGTGCACTGGAGACTCGGCTAAATCCAAGGTTTCTATTGTCCTCAAAAGTGGAGGTGTGGAAGGCCGATCCAAGACTTCGCTGGTGTCAGCAGGAAGCGTTTTCGAACGCTGAATTGGAGCTCGCCTTCTCCGTTTAGTTACACTTGGAGGCAAATCTTCTAGAACTGGAGAGAGCGACTTTTCAGGCTCCGGTTGTGGTCGTGGTGTTAGGATTCGTGGCTTCACTGGCGATGAGGATAACAAGTCAATCGCTTCGTATTCAGCCGGTGCAGTAGTCTGTGATGATGGCGCTGGAAGATCTCCAGCCTTCTCTTGGGCTTTTACAAGTGCTCGTGAAGCTCTCACTCCAGGTTTTGTGACCTTTGCAAAAGATTCTATTCGGACTTGGGGTTGATCTTTAGTCGTCCTTGTCCGCCTTGTGGTTGTCTTGGCTTTTGGTGCGGCAGTGCCAGTATCCTGAACCGATGCTGTTCGTCTAGGCTTCTGCTTTGCCTGTCGTCCAGCCTCCCAATCTTGAACTGTGAGTGGCACGCCGACTTTGACAAATGTTTCCATGACCCATATACGTGCCGGCTTTTCAGGGTCAAATTTGGTCGGTCCACGTTTCTTAGGACCCTCATCCTCCATGTCCAAAGGCACGTCTTCGTCTAGATCCTCATCTCCTACATCCTGTTGGGAACTAGGCGGCGGGGCCTCTACATCATCGTCCGGATCCTCTTGGCTAAGATCAATCTTTACCAACTCGACAGGTGTGAAGCTTACGCGAAGCTCGGTACAATGGTCGGTAATGGCATGCTGTCTTTTTCCGTGAAGACCTTTGATCAGCGTTGATTCGTCTTCTTGTATGGCTCGTAGATTGTCAGTGGGCAGGCGATTAGACTGTTCAGCGCGGATCCGCAGTTGGCGCACAACAAGAGATGGTGCTAGACTGCGAATGAAGTGCTTTGCACCCTCGAGTTTGGCCCAGTCAAAAGCATCTTGGGTAAACTCGCGCAGACCCGGAAAGTCGAGATCCCGATCCCAATTGATGGACCGACGCAACTTGTCTAATCCTGCTTGGTTCGAGATCGCGGGATGCGTGTAATATCCGAGAATATCGAGTCGGGGGAAGTCGTCGGGGATCTTGAGTGCGCCGTGTTTGCGTTTAAAGAACTTGCTTTCGTTTGTCTTCAACTCGTGTTGCAGTCGCTCCTTCCATTGGGCTATGGCTCTAGAGTCGTTTCGTGGAATCTTGCACAGGTCGGCACCAAAACCTGCTTTGGCTGCCTCACATGCAGTCTTGGGGCCGCATCCAGGTATTCCCTCTGGCACATAGTCTCCTCCACTCATTAGCGCGACCAAGATCATGCCCTCACGATCCAGTCCCGATGGCCCGTTTTTGGTTTCGACAGCGTCGTATACATTGACATGAGTTGGCGTCTTTCCTGATTTCTCTGGAGACCAATTTCGGAGAGTGACACCGCTCCCAAACATGAGCGTGTCCACATCTTCACTCAGAACCGCATCGACAATTCCTTCCCTTTGCAGCAGTGCACACTCTGCTTCTGCCTCGCCTGGCGCAAGATGTATGGGATATCCAAACTGCTTCAAGAGCTGTTTTGCAAGGAACTCCGGGATGGAAGCGACCGTCGGACCGGTGCGCTTGTTGCGCTTGAATGGTGGTTTGTTGGGTCCATCGAAGACAAAGACAGGATGGATAGCAAGAGAAATCAAGCGCAGGAGACGGTAGTAAAATGTTCGCAATGCAGGGTTCGTGCCGCCTAGCTGCAGTCAGCACCATACGGTATGCGCATACCCTGAGAAGACTTGCCTTTGCTAGCTTGGATCTGGAAAAGCCATATCGACGTATCAATAGCGATGCGCAGTGGGCGGCCAGTCTCTTCAAACTTTTCGACGGCGAGCTTGGAGAGCGCTATGCGTGTGCCAGGGCCGATTTCCTTGTAGATTCTGCATGCGTTAGTACTGGAATATACCCCATAATATGCGCGACTCACCCATGGATACCCATTGCGACTCCATGCTATGTCCTTTGATCTCCAAGCTGGCTGCCTTGTTCGCGATGTTGCGCCCAGCGCGTGGACTGGTGTCGTGATTAGATTGTTGCCACGACAACAACGCGTCACCCGTCCCGCATGCCCACGGATGCACGTTTATTCCCCACCATGCCATCCCTATCGCACTAACAACCTCCACCCACCATCCTCACAGAGACCCTTGAATATGGCGCCCCGCGGTCGCAGCACAACGGCGAGTCCGGGTGCCTACTCGGATCGCAGCAACGACTCAAGCCCGGACCCGCTAGCCATTTCTTTCGACGAAAACATCACCTCATCGCACCGCAAATCCAGTCCTCGGAAACCCATCATGATCACCTCGCCAAGGAAACAGGTCCGGCGGCTGGAGACGTCAGAGGTCGTCTTCTCGTCGCCGTCCAAGTCTATGATCATGAGCACACCGCGAGGCAACGGCGCAAGCCCTTGGCGCATCAAGGTCACCGTCCAGGCTGAACCGGAAGACGGAGAAAATGCTGAATCACCATCAGTAAAGAGGGTGACAAGAACAAAGACGACTACTGTACCGCTAAAAGACCCGGATGCGTCGTCTCCTGTCAAGCGCCCCCGCGGCCGACCCAGGAAGTCTGAGACTGGATTGACGCCCAAGCCCAAGAGAAAAGGGACACCAATCAAGAGGCCTGCAGAATTCAGCTCGCCGAGCAAAATTGTGCGAGGCGGCGATTCCAGCGCAGCCGATGTCGATACCGATGTGCCACCTAGGAAGCGAAGGGGTCGTCCGAGGAAGAGCGTACAGTCACCGACTGAATATGACGAGACCAGCGTTGCAGAGGAGGCCGAAGCTATCCTACAAGCCACGTTCGAGGAGACACCTCTGCCAAGCACCGAGGCCGAACCAGACAATTCGAAAAAGAACGCGCGATTTGCAGCTCCCGATGATCAAACCATGGATGATGCATTGCGAACATCGCCTACACGATCAGAGCCGTCTCCCAGCCTAGGCACACCAGCTCATACCAATTCGAGGAACAATGTTCGCGCACGCAGAGGTACACCACATGCAAACAGGGTGGCCGTTATTGCATCCGATGAAGAGGAAAGTGGCAGTGATGTACTTACGCCCGCCAGCGGAGATGAAGACAACAACGATCTTCCCGAAAACCAACCCATGAGTGGAACAGAGGATGGCCAAGGAGACGTGCTTACACCAAGCGAGACCTCGGCGCAATCGAGTGATTCAGCCGATGCCACTAGTGATGATGGTGCACCCGAATATCCTCAAGACTATGAAGACGAGGAGGAGGAGGAAACACAGGGTCAACATTTCACTTTTGACGAAGGCACCACCAGGATGCCAGATGACACGACGATGTTGGATAGCGAGACGTTTAGCATGATATCTGTCGAGTCATTGAAGAGCAACACAAATCGACCGAGCCCAACACAGCCTCGAGATGTGCAGGCCAATGCTCCAAAGGCCAAATCCTCACTCAGGAACGAGTACTTGGGACCAGTTACGCACGTAGCATCAGGTTCTGAATCTTCAACCCATGAAAAGCACGTCTCGACAAGCAAGGCCTTTTTAGAAGCCGCGTCCATCGAGACAGTGCGTCCAAAACTGGCGCGTCATGTCACACCCGCTATGGACTCTGAGATTCCATCTGCACCCCCTGCTCTGCATCCTGTTCAGCCTGCTCTGACCAAATCTCCATCTCCAACACTTGGCCGAGCAGTTACCGCCGGTGTAGCTTTACAAGGTCTTCTCGACCCCACACGACTCACCCCAGATGCCTCACAAAAGACGCCCGACGGAAAGCG